ACGTCTGCAGTTACAATTACTGCCTCCGGCTTACTTCCTATAGGTGGAGTGGAGGTAAGAGTTCATGCCAGGCTTGAAGCCTTGGGTGCTCACTGCCCCGGTTTTCCTGCATCCAGCTCTGTCTTTCAGAGTTTAAGGAGGGAACCTGTTTACACAAATCTGTGAAATGTTTAGGCAGGACCTTGTGGAGTTTGCCAAGGGCGATGCAAAGTGAGAAATTGAGAGGTTATTACTAATTCTAAGTGCCAATTAAGTATAGTGTACCTTGTTCCCCAGACCCTCCAAGTGACTGAAAAGGCCAAATATCATGAATGATCATTACAGATACTGTTTAAAAGCAAAAGCTGAAAAAGGACAATGAGGGACCAGATGAAGCTTTGAGGAGAGATGTATTGCCACCCATTGCCACGCCCAGCAACAGTGAGCTGGACTTGCAGGCGGGTACACCCAGCTGCTGCCATCAGTTCCAGATGGAGAACAGGGGAATGAAGGTCACCTATGGGCTGTTGTTGCATGCTGATGAGTGCAACACAAGTTCAAAGACAGCAATGTTTACCATTTACTTTACATTAAAAAGTAGGGAAAGACTGAGACAGCCTGAGAAGCTCTGTGAACATGATATTCAGAATAACAGGTGAAAATTGTTAAAAAAAATATCACTTAAAGCTTTTGGAAATGATCCTAAGGGCATACAGCAAATGGAAAAACATCTGTGCATGAAAGTTCAGTAAGAAAACCAAGAATCTGTTATTTGAACCAAGACTGATCTCCTGGGAGATCTATTCCATCCAGCCTCCACTCATGGAATGCAGCCCCTACCTTGGATGAAGTGGCTCTGACTGACCTTGACCATAAGTTAGTGGTGCCATGCCAGAAGATGCAAACTGAGAAGACCTCTGGCTACTGCCCCAGAGGTGCCTGGGTCTAGCGAGAGAGAAACAACTTACCACTTGCAAGAGAACTCCAGTAAATTGACAGCTGAATTCTTCCCAGCAATAATGGAATCCAGAAGGCAGGGGTTTAACATATTCTAAGAACCCAAAGGAAAAAAAAAAAACCCAAGACATGTCTATCCAGCAAAGCTCTTTCAAAAGTGGAGGCATATTACATTCTCAGATAAAAAGAGTGAATTTGTTTCTAGCTGACCTGCATTATCAGAAATACTGAAGTTCTTCAGGCTGAAAGCAAGTGATTTCAGATGGTAATTTCAATTCACATGAAAAAAACACACACCGTACTGGTAAAGATAAAGGTAATTATAAGACTATAAATTGTAATGTCCCTGCTCAGGGGTCCTCAAGGTGGTGAGGACTTCCCTACCCAATGCCTTGCACAGTATAATCAAGTGAAAGGGCGGGCACTATTCCTCTGTAAGGACCATACAGGCTGACAGTTCTGCCCTACCAACCCAGTGCTTTCTAACTTCCTGGTTAAAACAGTCACACAGCCAGACACGGGTCCCCTCCCAGATCTGGGAGACCTGTCACTTGGGATATTTAACAGGACCCAGTAGAGTTTTGTGTGGAAGGAGCTGTGGGGCCCATGTGGCTCAGCATTTCCTCCTCGGTGTCTATCCCCAGCCCCTCAGAGGGGAAGATTTCCGGAGCAGTCTTCTCTATGTGAAAGGTTTCCGGGGACCCGCATGTTCAATGCGGGGGGGTTGGGGTGAGGGGTCTTCAAGAGAGCCTGGGGCACTGGGCTTTGTTCTTGAGGTTGCCAGCCTCAGCCTAGGCTCTGCCCCATGTCCAGCCTGTGCCCAAACCTCCCTGCTTTGCCTCCTGCCAACTTGCTTGAATGATGTTTATTTTTTACACTCTTCTAAGAAGCCAGCCCTTTTCTCATCGAACACAGAGAAAAAAGGTTGTACCAGAATCTCATCTGGCCAGAACTGCAATGATAAGAACCCAAGTTATATCTGGATCAGAGAGGGATGAAACCTCCAAAATTAAACATCCTGATCAAGAAAATCTTAACACTATGCAACCAATAAGAAATTGCACATGTAAACTGGCTGAGGCTCATGCGATTGCCATCTAAACCCCTAATTTTAACCTTTGCTCATCAAAACTGTTTTTTACTGAATTTGAATCTGATAAATTTAAACAAGTAAAAACCCAGAAACAGCAATCACACCCAGGAGCCTCATGGGATAGAGTTGTGGGCCTTTTCAGAGCTTCCTGGGAAGAGTTGTCACTGTTTCCAGGGCCTCAGCTGGTGTGTGAGTTGAAGGGCCCCTCTTGTCTTGGAGACTAGGGGAGGATCTTGCAAAATGGAGCTGCAGGGATGTCATGCTGGGATATAAACTGCCCACAAGGAAGACATTCAGAGTAGGACCCCAGGTGGCCTGGGGGAAAATGTACTTTGGTGGTCGCAGGAAACGTGGTCTGCTTAGGGCAGGACCCATCCTATGGAGGTGAAGATCTATTGTGCGTGAGGGCCAGCTGGTAGAGGCCCCTGGGCGACTCCAGGGCCAGAGAAGGCAAGGGGGGCAGGTGGAGCCCTGGCCTGCCCAACCTCAATGTCCCTTCCCTCATTGTTCCCTGGGGGGCAGGGCCAGGGTGAAAGAGGGAAGAATGACCCAGGGCTCAGGAATCCAGGGCCTTCCTGAAGTCCCTGTGCCTGCTGGGAGCTCTCCGTGGAGACCCCCAGTGGTTGGCAAACTCATTAGTCAACAGCCAAATATCAACAATACAACGATTGAAATTTCTTTTGAGAGCCAAGTTTTTTAAACTTATACTTCTTCTCACGCCACTTCTTCAAAATAGACTTGCCCAGGCAGTGGTATTTTGTGGAAGAGCCACACTCAAGGGGCCAAAGAACTGCATGTGGCTCACAAACTGAGGTTTGCCGACCACTGCCCCAGGTCATGCATTTCCCCTTCATGATAACAAGATGAGGATGCCTCCTCTCAGTGGCAGGAAAGTCTGACAGCTGTGTTGCCCAGGCTTGGAGCAGGGATAGCAGTACATGCTGGGATGGTCCACATGGTTGAGTGGAGGCTGGGTTCCTGCAGGCCCCAGACCCTATGACAGCACTTGTCAGTGCAGGACCAACAAATGGGATACTCTGCTTGGTCTCCATCTCTGCCCCGAGAACCTTAATGCTGCTGTCAGGGACATTCTCTGGGCTACTTTGGCCCCATCTTGTGGATTAAAATGGTAACTGAAGGGGGTCAGGGAGTTGTGTGTGGCTGAACTGGGTCATGATGGGAAAGGCAGTGTGGGACAACAGACATCATTTTAAATTTAGAGTTCCCTTTATAGGGACCTGATTCTCCCTAGAGATGTCTGAGGAAGTGCCCAGTGGGCCACTTGGGGGCCATACCGCCCATTAATGGAATCAGACAGTGCCTCTTGGTAAGAGCAGGTTCCTCTCAGCTGAGGGCAGGGCAGGGGAGGAGGATGGACATTTACAACCTGGAGCTCACTTAGTTTGTGGCAGGAAGCCCCCAGGAGTCCCTGAGGATGGCCGTGCAGGCTGAGTCAGACAGACTCACTCTGGGCTCCCAAGCCAGCTGCCCTGTGTCCCACCATTGCCTAGGACGGGGTGCATCATCTGCAGGGCCCAACGCACAACGCAAATGCCAGGCCCCTCGTCCATAAATGACCAAATATTTCAAGACAGCAACAGCAAAGTGCTGACCTGAGCATGGGCCCGTGGTCCTCCCAGGTTGACGCGTCTGAAGCGGCGGATGGACTGGCCCAAATCTCTTCTTCACTCTGTTATGGACTGAAAAATTCCCAAGGCCAGCGCAGCATCTGTGCACCATGAATTCCACAAGGCCAGCACGGCAGCCGCTGCACAGCTCGTTAAAACAAGCTCATTAAAAGCAGGATGTGCTGACCACTATCTGATACAAGAGGGGTAAGGCCAGGGGGCGGGAGGAGGAAGGGAGAACTGACAAGTTAAACGTAAAATAATTGAGAATTGCTGATGGCTAAAGGCAGATATCCGCTTCTGTACTCGTAGCTTGCTTGCTTGCTAAGGATGAGAAGCCTATATAAGCAAAAGGCTTCTAAAGCTTGGGGCTGCAGTCCGGTCCCGTCTTCCCTGCATGAGCCGGCTGCAGACCCTGCGCAGGAAATAAAAGCGCTTTTCTAAAAACTTTTGATCTGTGTCCGAGTGAGGTGTCTCTCCTAGGTTACAACTCCCGCCCTCATCTCTCCGGAGACCCCCTGCCTGCTGTTGCCGCCTCTGCTGGGAGGCCCAGGAGCGACCCCTGCCCTGGGGATAAGGCCGAGTTCCTCCGGCCCCTAACCTATAGCCCTCCCAGCCCTGGGGGCCCTCGCTTCCTGCGGGGCCTCCAGCTCGCCCCTAGCTGCGTCCCAGGCGAGGGGCCCCTCCTCCGCAGGGTCCGCGTTCTCCCCGCGCTGTGGGCCCTGCTCCCCCAGTTCCGCCGGGGTGTGTGTGTGTGTGTGTGTGTGTGTGTGTGTGTGTGTGTGTGTGTGTGTGTGTGTGTGTCTGAGAGCCCCTGCGGGACAGCGCGGGCCTCCCCGGAGGGGCAGCTTGCCCAGCACAGCCAGCAGGCAACACCCCCGAGGGGCTCCTGAAACGACAACCCCCGCCAGCTTTCTCTATTGGGTCTGCGGGCGGGACCGAGGATCCTGGAGGGTGACCCCCGCGGGAACAAACCCGCCAGGACAGAGACGACCGCCCGGCCCGCGCCCCCAGACTCCGGGTAGGAGACCGCGGGGACCCCGGCCTGGGGGGCGTGGCCGAGCCCGGGCGGAGCGGAACCGAGGCCCTAACCCTGAGCCGGCCCCGAGCTCCACCGCCGGCTCGGCCACGCCCCCTCTTCCTGTTGGGCGGGACCAATCGCAGCTCCCCTTCCTGGCGATTGGTCCAAAGGAAGCCACGTGACGTCAACCGGAAGTTTCTGGAGGGAGTGGGCGGGCCGACTGAAGAGAGGGAAGGCCGTCCCATCACGTGCCGCCCCGCCCCCCTCCCCTCGCCACGCCCCTCCCGCCCCGCCCCGCCCCGCCGCCCCGCCCCTACCCTGTTCTGCCCTCCGCGCACCCTGCCCTGCCCGCCCCGCCGCCTTCTTAAGGTGCCCGGCCCCGAGCCCCCCTGTGCACCCTGCAGCCGCGAGGAAAGCCAGGCCCCCTCGACTTTGCTCCTCTTTCCCATTCTGCAGGTATTTCGTTTTTATTTCACGTTTTAACCACGGCTATGGAGACTTAGCACAGTGCTCTTTTATTGAATGCAAATACAAGCGATCAACGGTTTTACGAAATGTGTGTCTTTAAGTAATACAGAGCAGGAAAAGAGGTGGGTAGGATTAATCTGAATTTTCCTGGAAGCGATTTTTAAAAAATATTTGTAACGATTATTTGAAACTTGATTTATTTGAATTCGTAGATACAGGAGCGTTACGTCCAGCTTTCCAAGTACACTGACTTTTATCAACAGCGCAAACAAGGTAGGAAAGACATTCACCGACAGACCGGACACATCAGTAGTAACCCATCATCTCACAGAGGGGAGAGGAGGCTGGGGAGACTAGATCACTTGTCTGCGGCGAGGCCCATCCTCCTGCAAAACCCGAGTCCCACAGATCCAGCAAAGTGTGAGCCTAGCGGGAGAATTCCACTGAAGGTGGAATTTTGCTTCTTGGTTTCGATTAGAGTTAAGGTTTCAGTACTTGTTGGTTTATGGGACACGTTTTCCCATTTAGAACGGTTAGCATTAAATATCTACTCAGGAATCACAGCTCACCACGGGAAAAGGGATCCAAATGAGACCATGCTCTAAGGGCCAGTGGGACAGCATTTTCACACCCTCTAACTATGTTGGGTTTCATTGGCACTGATTAACAAATTTAAGAAATGGCAGCCTATTCAAAGGTTCCATAGAGCTTTGTTGTTTCAAATGAAGTGGACATTTAAGGAAACCACAAATATCCAGAATCTTGTTTGGTAGTCAGGTTTTGTTTGTTTGTTTGTTTTTCTGCGTTAGGATTTGGTATAGCCCAGGCTTTGTGACTGAGAATTGACTTTCCTACATGATATTACCAGGAATCCCAGGGACCAGTCAGCTAGCACATATGCCTAATATAGCAGAAGGAATGATGGGGGCCATTAAAACAGCCCTTGGAAAGAGATTTTCGATTTTTCATTCACAAAGAAAATGAAGCTTCCTAATGGCTACGACACAGCTGGAAAGCTCAGCTCCTACTAGCCTACAAGCCCTCCCTCTCTGCTTCCTTGTGTGACTTCGCCTCTGCTGCAGGAACAGCGTGGCTGCTTTCTCTAGTTCACTCGTGTGCAAAGAACTCGTGGCAGGCTGTGGTAATCATGGCGATGAAGGCCACAAATTCCTGGAAGTCACATTCGCCATCTCCATCGTTGTCCAATGTTTCCATGACTTTGTCCACAGCCTCCTGCTCTTTGATTTCCTAAGAGAGATCAGTCACTCAGCTTGTTTTCAAATGAAATTGAAGGCCATCAAAACATGATTAAAAGTTGGCTGGTTTAAAAAACCTGTACAGGAACAACCTAAGATATAAAATGCAAAATACCAGGAAGATTTCTCCTGGGAACAGAGGACTGTTGTCCAGGGGGTTGTGCCTCCTCTACCTTCCTTACTTAGGGGTGTCGAACTCAGAGAAGGGGCCAAAATCTAAAATCCAGCCTAAATCGCGGGCCGAATGGTTTACTGAACAGTCATAAACTGTCATTGTGATGGAAACGCAGCGGAGTGCAGTGATGACAGCGCGGTGCGGGCCACATTGCGAGGCCTGGCGGGACGGATTTGGCCCGCGGGCCTTGTGTTTGACACATGTGCTTTAGGTCCAGAGGGACCTGGGCTATTTGAAAAGACTGACTGGAACAACCAAGGTCTGAAAACCTGCAGGTTGTTATCACTATACTTAAAACACCTGGAAAAAAAGAGTAGCATCTCGGTCAGCCAGAGTACATTATAGGAAAATGTCTTGAAAGAAAAGAAAGAACTTTTGCCCCCCCCCCCCCAAAAAAAATTGTCAGTTTCTGTGTGTAGATGTCCCCACAATGAAGATTTTCATGGGTTTTTTATGTTTTGAAAATTTTCCTTTTGTTTTTTGTTGTTGAAGTAACTCTTTAGCATGTCCTAAATTTGTGACCTCCTTGTGTTCCTTTTGCCACTTGAGCTGCTTTCTAGGTGTCATGGAACTTTTTCTGTCAGTTCTTCCCAACACAGAAGCCAAGGGAATAGTCTTAAAAAGTCTCTGAGGAACAAACACGGGCCCTAAACATGTGAGAATGTGGCATTTTGCGCTGAAAAAGAGCATCAGAGCAGGTTGTTCAGAATAACAATCCCCAGTGCAGCGAAGATTGGCCTGAAAAAGTCCAGTGTAATGTTCAGTGGCTGCCTTCAATCTAAAACATGTAAAAGACTGAGCCCAGCCGGCGTGGGACAGTGGTTGAACCAGGAGGTCATGGTTCGATTCCCAGTCAGGGCACATGCGTAGGTTGTGGGCTCAATCCCCAGTGTGGGACATGCAGGAGGCAGCCATTCAATGATTCTTTCTAATCATTGATATCTCTCTTTCTCTCTCTCTGTCTCTCTCTCTCTCTCTCTCTCTCTTTCTCTCTCTCTCTCTCTCTCCTCCCTCTCCCTCTCTGAAATAAATAAACATATATTAAAAAAAAAATAAAACATGTAAAAACTGAGATTCCAGCAGGGGTTGGGCGGGATCTATAAGTGTAGGTTAGAAGATGGATGGCAGCAGTGTATTATTCAATTACCGGTATGCTATAGGTTTGCCTCCTAACCAAAATTACCTTGATAAAACTAGGCCAACAAACGCTCATGACACCTTGGCATACTTACCTTGAATTACTTATCTTTTATAAATTGTGGTTACCACATGTTAAGCTTTTTCTACATTTTAAAATCAATAGCAGTTACTGGTTTTTGAACTTTCACTGTATGTTAAGCACTTGACAAAAACTATCATTTCATCCTCACAACAATAGTTTTTACAGAAGTAACTGGGACTTTGATTAAATTAGAAGGCAGAATTGGTGGGACTGAGTAATTGTACATGTGAGTGAGGCAGCTGCCACTTGGACTTAATGCCTGAGAAGTCAGTACCAGATTCAGACTAGGCAGTGGTCGGCAAACACATTAGTCAACAGAGCCAAATATCAACGGTACAACGATTGAAATTTCTTTTGAGAGCCAAATTTTTTAAACTTCTTCTAATGCCACTTCTTCAAAATAGACTCGCCCAGGCCGTGGTATTTTTGTGGAAGAGCCACACTCAAGGGGCCAAAGAGCTGCATGTGGCTCTTGAGCCGCAGTTTGCCGACCACAGGACTAGGGGTTGCCTCCCCCATCCCACCACAAGCCTTCAAGTCACTTCCTCTGTCTTGGTGGTGCCATTCACAGCTTGGAGTTTTGCGTGGGGGTGGGACAGGAGAACCAAGCCAGCTGCAGACAGCGGGTGCTGCCCTGATGCTGGGACCTGGGGCTCAGCTGGCAGGGATGGTCATGCTCCCTATCACCATCCCTCAGGAGGCTCTGGTGTCTTTCCCGGAATTAGCTCCTGGTCAGGCATCAGTGCGCTGGTGCACTGGTTGGCCTTTTCCCTGTGTGTGACTCGTCACTTCAGGACCTTGATTCTGGGTACTAAGGTCAAGCACCAGTAGATTGCAGTTCACTGCCTTGAGGGTGTAAGACTGGTGTGCAATAGAGATAATGGGCGGCTGATCCAAGGGCGGGAGCTAGTGGGTATGGAAGTGAGTCCTCCATGAGGTGTCTGGACATTCTTTTACCACAGATCAGAGTGGGACCTGTGTGGGGGAGGAGGGGTCCTCTCCGATGCCTCTTATTCCATGAAATCCCCTGCAAGTCCCCAGGCCTCCTGCCTGCAGTCAAGATTGTGGTCCTTCATGGTTGTGCCAGCCTGGGTGCTTTCGAAGCAGAGGCCATGTCCTGGGGCCTGTGTCTCTCCCAGTAGTGAATGTAATGAGTGGTCAGTAAATATTTGGTCAGGGAATGGCATCTTTATCACTTAGGTCAGTGGTCGGCAAACTCATTAGTCAACAGAGCCAAATATCAACAGTACAACGATTGAACTTGCTTTTGAGAGCCAAATTTTTTAAACTTAAACTTCTTCTAACGCCACTTCTTCAAAATAGTCTCACCCAGTTCGTGGTATTTTGTGGAAGAGCCACACTCAAGGGGGTAAAGAGCCACACGTGGCTCGCAAGCTGCAGTTTGCCGACCACTGACTTAGGTGAATGCTAAACATCTAGCTAAAGCTAAAATAGTGCTTTTTCCTCCCAAACAAAAGCTTATCTTTAACATCTTCTTTATATGCACATGGTCCATGGTAAGTCGTGAGTTTTCCATCCATTCTGCAATCACTGCTGTAAATCCTTAGATTTTTTCAGAGAAATGTCAGCATTATTTGGAATCTGCACTTTTGCCTTTGAGACAGCAATTTTTTTCTTGATGTTCCTACTACATACAAAACAAATGAAAATGAGGACAATGGGGCTCAGCTAAGCTAAACTCCCTAATGATGGTTCAATCGTGCAAACGAGTTTTCAGAAGCAACTTAGGAGTCCTGAAACAGACCCGGAATCACCTTCATGTCTGCTCTGAAGAGAAGTGCACAGGTGGTTTTATAAGTGGAGAGGAGAATGCACAAACTGTCGATTATATAAAGACTCACCTCTAGAAAATGGGAAAGCTCGTTGTTGATGAGCTCCTTGAGTTCGGATTTCTTCAGCTTGTGCTTATCGCCCTCCTTTCCAGAATATTGATGGAAAACATCAATGAGGGCCACCACGGCCTTCTCCAGCTCAGACATCCTAGGGGTCCACAGAGGAAAGATGCTTTTTCATGCCTTTTGCTTTGCTTCACAAAGAACAGTTAACATGTTACCTATACAGACATCCACCCAGAAGAGGGGGCTGGGTCAGCCTTGGTTCACCTCCAATGTCAAGCTTGGAGCAGGGCATTCTGGGAACTTGCTCAGTGGTCACTAGTCTCCCACACACTTTTGAGATCCACTCTTCTCTCTTTGCCCCCCTTCTCTGTCCCTGTTGGCTACCTCGACAAGTTCCCAGGCCCTCTGGCTTCTGATTGGGTTTGGCCAATGGGACACGCCAGCAAAAATATGAAGGCAGCCGTAGCTGGTTCGGCTCTGGATAGAATGTCAGCTTGTGGACGTTCGATTCTGGTCAAGGGCATGTACCTTGGTTGCTGGCACATCCTCAGTGGTGGTGGTGGGGGGTGGTGTGTGTAGGAGGCAGCTGATAGATGTTTCTGATGTTTTTTCTCTCATCAATGTTTCTGACTCTCTATCCATCTCCCTTCCTCTCTGTAAAAATAAAATCAAAAAATTTTTTTTTTTTTTTTTTTTTTTTAATGAAGGCTGCCCTGACTCATGCGGTTCAATTGGTTGGGCATTGTCCTGTGCATCAGAAGGTTGCTGGTTCAATTCCTGGTCAGGCACATGCCTGGATTTGGGGCTCAATCCCCTGTAGGGGGTGTGCAAGAGGCAGCCAATCACTGTTGCACTCTCACGTTGATGTTTCTCTCCCTTCCTCTATCTCTAAAAATTAATTTAAAAATCTTTAAAAAATATGAAGGCAGAACAGTGAAGGAGTTCTGAGATTGATCCCTGCCTCCTACCTTGGGCACCCTCTACCCTGGCAGGGCCCCAAGTCAGTGACAGGGCTGCTGAGCAGAACAGTGCTGCAAGCTGTTAGAATTAATAAGAAAGAGGTAAGGTGACTAGGAGCCAAATGAGGGTATAAACATCAATAGTAGTCTTATATCCTGTCACCAAACAACTGGAAAACAGGAGGAGAATTCCATTCATACAGTAGCACATACGGATTACTAAGAATATGTTTAGTATGAAAAGTGTAGGTCTTTCCAAAAGATTTTAAAGATCATAAAATGTAGGTATTTGCTTTCCTTTGAACTAATATGTAAATTTAACTCATTTTTTAATAAAAAAAATTTTACTGAAAAAAATTTATATAGTAGAATTTCCACAATTTTTTTTTTTTTGTGATAAAGTAGATCAGTGAAGGGTACTTTGACCTACTAGAAACAAAACTGTATTATCGGGTTAAACAGTGAAGCCTGTTCCCCTACAGGGACAGGCCAGTGCAGCAGGGGCCACCGCCAGGTATTTCTTTGGGATCCATGGAGGTGCTGCCTCAAGTGAATGGGGCAAAGGCTGCTTATTCACTAGTGAGTGTTTCTCTGCAGTTGCCAAAGTCCAAACTTTCTGCTTCCCTCAACCCGCACCTTATACCATAGCCTGTAAACTGAAGCAGTACCTGATCACACCTGGGGGTTGGGCACATTTTACAAAGGACAGTTTTCAATTGTTTCACAAAACTGAGACACCTGGCCAGAGAAATTTACCAACGTTAGACCTTGAATCCTAGTCAAAGATAAATATAAGAATTACATCTCCTTGTTGAGTATGTCACATCTTAAAAATAACTTGGAATAAAATATTTAAATTTTTATTTCTGACTTCCCAAGGGAAAGAGAATTGAGGGTTTTCATCTTGGCCTGATTTTTGCTAAAGTCACACCATTAATTATCATATTTTGTTTTAAGTCCCTAATAATCAGATATATCATATACAGATAGAACAATTCAGATGGATGAAAATCTTTAAACATTTCCTACTTATCCTTTGCACTCAAATTTCAATTATTGATTTTTTTTTTTTTTTAAAGAAACAAAACAAGCCTCAGTTGGTTAGAGTGTTGTCCCAATATGTCAAGGTTGCGGGTTTGATCCCCAGACCCGACATATAAGAACCAATCAATGAATGCATTAAATAAATGGAACAACAAATCAATGTGTGCCCCCCCCCCCATTTCCTCTCTCTCTTTCTCAAATCAATAATAAAACCAAAATAAAACAAAACCTTTTATATCATCCTGATGCTTCTCAAAACCCATAATGTTTTGGGGAAGAGGAAGATAAATTATTTTTTGTGTATGACTAGTGGGATTTTTCTAAAAGGAGGAACATGGAATATATACTTCATATGTTTTAAAACTCCATAAAATGTTATTTTCTTTAAAACCATCCTACAAGTTAACTAATTTTCTCCCTGTTAAATTCTTCCCATTGACTAAGAAACAATTGATGGTTTAAAGCTTATCTTTTAAGAGAAATGGAAATCAAATATCCATCTTCCTTTTCCACTTGAATCTATGACTGTTATTCCTGCTTCAATTAGCCTCTTATTCCTGTGTTAATATTTTCATGTCAAAAACAAGAGAAGTTTTGAGCTTTAACACATCGCACACGATGTGGGGGTTCCCTCTAAGGAAGGGGCCCTCCCTACTTGAGAAATTACCAGCCTGATGAGAGTTAAGCCCACCATAAACCCCCATTTCTTTGACCCAATTTATAGTTCACTTATAAAGGCCTCTCAGTTTGCATGGAATTTCTGAGTGGGAGTCCAGAGGCCCTGACGTTTTCCTCTGAGGGAAACGGGAACCCTGAGAAGCCGTGTGTGCCCAGGGCCAGGGCAGGAGCAGAGAGAGAAAACACTCATCTGTAAGAGAGGGCTAAGCTAGCATCAGGTTGCCCATCCTCAGCCCCGCGGAAGCAAAAACCCTCCTCTTCAAAGAGGGAAGAATCAATATTTGCAGTATATCTGGGGAAATGTCAGCAGTCACCAGACCCAAGGTTCCTCCAACTTATGGTAATAAAAATATGGGACCCTTCCATCTGCAAGCCGATGCTCTATGCACTGAGCCAAATCGGCTAGGTCTTGTATTGCTAAGACTTTTTAATAATAAATTGTTCTTGATGAATTATATATATATATAAAAAGGGCAAATAAAAATATGGCCAAATAAATATGGTAAAAAATATATGGGCAAATAATAAAAATATGAACCTCCAGCTGTCTAAGGTTGAGGCAGTCATATCCACAGCGCAGTAGTAAAATCCACGCTTTGAAATGCTGCACTTATGCTAAAGGGGCTTTTTAAACTACCACCTGGTTCTTCAGTCCATCTTGTAGGATCCCTGCCCACCCAGCCCCCCAAAAGCAGGCTTTTCCTCTCACGTGTGATCTTGGTCGCTCCTCGCTCTTTGTGGTCACCTCCTGGCTGCAGTGTCCTGAGTGGCAGGAATGGTGAGGAGGGACGGCCTTTTATTCCTTCCTCTGGGCGTGGGCCCCTTGTGCAGTCCCATTGCAGGCCCAGGCAGCCAATGGGGGCCGAGGGCAGGGTGGGGGTGGTGGGGCGGGCAGGCCTGCACACAGGGCTGCATTGACCAAGCTGCCACCCGGGGACTGCACTTGGCCAAGGCAGAAAGCGGCCGGCGGGGCAGGAAGTGGGGAGTCAGCTTTTTGTGTTCTTTAAAATTTACACATGAATATTAATGGTCGTCTAAAAGCAAGATTGGTGGTGGGGAGAGGAGAGAGACAGATTAATTGATTCCAATAACACAGATGTTCAGCCAAGAACTTGGAGCGTCCAAGTGCAGGCTGCACCATGCTGTTTTCCAGCGGAGAGTTCCTGAGCCCTCTCCCGTCTCCAGCTCCCCCACCTGGCCCCCACCAGCAGGCAAGATGCCCCGTGGACATCTGAACCCTGAGCTAAGCAGGCTGCCTCAAGAAGCCACTGAGCTCAACATCAGCAGAGACAGACGTTTGGCAAAATAGATACTTGATTCATTTAGGGCAGTGGTCAGCAAACTGCGGCTCGTGGGCCACATGGGGCTCTTTGGCCTCTTGAATTTTTAGCAAAGGCCAGCTTAGGAGGACCCTGATTACTTTAATAACAATGTACCTACCTATATAGTTTAAGTTTAAAAAATTTGGCTCTCAAAAGAAATGTCAATCGTTGTGCTGTTGATATTTGGCTCTGTTGACTAATGAATTTGCTGACCACTGGTTTAGGGGGAAAATCTTTGTTTAATATGATTGAGGACCCATGCCAGGCACACTCCAAGGTCTTCTCCTTCTTCCCAGGACACACAGTCACAGCCTTTCAGAGCCAGACGGTGCCATAGACATGTCCTGTCCACTTCCTGTGTTCTGCAAAGGTAGTTTCTGTGGGACTGAGGCCCCACGGCCAGCCACAGGGAACCAGGCCCAGCCTCCCGCCACCCATTTTCACCCGCCCACACCTGAGACACTTCCAAGCAGAAGCCCAAAAGGTGCGCATTCCTGAAGATGGTAATTAAATTCGAAGTAATAAAAAGATGTCTGAGCCAGAATCAGGGCCCTTCTGACTCAGGTTCACAGCGGCCACAGACTGGTCCAATACACAGAGATGTCTGTGGGCACAGTGGTTCTGCTGTCATCTGTTTTACCGGAAACGTCTTGTTTATTCCATACTCAGAAGCATAGCCTGGAAATAGCATGAGGCTCTGAGGCTTGGGACCTGAATTGTCCCAGCCTGGACCCCCAGCCTATTTCTTTCTTCCTTCCTTCCTTCCTTCCTTCCTTCCTTCCTTCCTTCCTTCCTTCCTTCCTTCCTTCCTTCCTTCCTTCCTTCCTCCTTCCTTCCTTCCCTTCCCTTCCCTTCCCTTCCCTTCCCTTCCCTTCCCTTCCCTTCCCTTCCCTTCCCTTCCCTTCCCTTCCCTTCCCTTCCCTTCCTTCTTTCTTTCTTTTTCCCCCCTTAAGTAATTTTATTTATTTATTTATTTATTTATTTATTTATTTATAATTATTTTTTAAAATATATTTTATTGATTTTGTACAGAGAGGAAGGGAGAGAAATAGAGAGTTAGAAACATTGATGAGAGAGTCATCGATCAGCTGCCTCTTGCACACCCCCTACTGGTGATATGCCCGCAACCAAGGTACATGCCCTTGACCGGAATCGAACCCTGGACCCTTCAGTCCTCTATCCATTGAGCCAAACCGGTCTCGGCTCCTTAAGCAATTTTAATCACAAACTGAAGGCGAAGGGGGTACAGGCTGGCTTTTAGAGAGTGGTGGCTGACTCTAGGCCACGTTCCTGGAAGTACTGGAGGGGGAAATGGGGGTGGTTTCCTGACTTTTCGTTGAAATAGGATGTAATCCTCCCTTGTCCTTCCTGATCTCCTGTTGGCAAGTCCTCCCACATAACACCTTCCACCTCCTTCTCCAGGATGCTCTGGGCCGTGCACCAACTGAACACCCACCCTGCTTCTTATAACCAGTTGACTGTGGAAGAAAAAACGTGAGCTCCGTTTGCAGGGTGGTCTGCAGGATATGCTGATCCCACCCTGAGTGGACAGATACAGCACTATGGCATCACTCAAGGGGCCCTACAAATAGTCTTGGGGAAAGTCTCTCAGGGGCTGAACTTTGACAAGCACATTGGGTTGTCTATATCTTGAGTGAGAAGTAGCCGGTATATGGATGTATATTAATTCAGGGAAGGCTACTAATAAATTAGTCAGCAATTTGGAAGGAACAGATTTGGAAATTTGGCTTCTGGAAGAGCCACCAACTGGCCCACACTGCAGAAGAGCCTCTGAATAATCAGCTGGAAAGTGAGCGACCCTGTGTCTGAGACGTGTCTGTCCAAGTGCTCTGTGCAGCCAGCTCTGACTGCCTCTGCTCCAGGAGCTGCTCACCATCCATGAGTGAAGTGATCAAGTGGCAGGCATGGATGCGTGCATGTGCTCATCATCATGGCCTCCCACTCACCAAAGCAGACCAGGCTCTGAGCTCCCAGCAGCCGAGACCAGCGATGAGTCCTGTGGTGTCCAGCCCGACGCCAAATGGCAAGTTGATTATGCTGGACGTCTTCCATCGTAGAAGGGACAGAGACCTGTCCTCATTGGAATAGACGTATATTCTGGGTGTGGATTTGACTTCCCTGTCCATTTTGCTTCTGGAAGCACCGGCATCCATGACCTCACTAAAGCTTTGTCTATTATAATGGCATTCTGGACAGTGTTGCATGAGGTCAAGGAACCTACTTTAAGCAAAGGAAGTGCAGCAGTACGCTCATACCCATGAAACTGGGTGGTTTTATCACAGGTCCCATAACTCAGAAGTGGTTGACCCAGTAGAAAGGTGGAATAGCTTCCTGAAGAGTCGGTTATGATGCCAGATGGGAAGCAGCATCCCGAAAGGGATTCTGTATTACAGGGTACAGTATACACTCTGAGCCAGGGGCCGTTACGTGGTGCTGCGTTCCCACAGCCAGAATGCTCCTCTCACTAGAACAGACTCACCTACTTATAGAAGTTTTGTTTCTCGTCCTGCAACTTTGAGGTGGCTTAGAGACCTTAGTCTCCAGAGGGAAATGCTTCCACTAGGTGACATAGTGATGGTCCCACTGAATTGGAGGCTGAAATTGCCACCTGGCCACTTTGGGCTCCTTATGCCTTGGAACCAGCAGGCAAAAAAAAAAGAAAGAAAGAAAAAAAAGGGGGTAGTGGGTTAATCTACTGGCTTGAATGATTGATCCCAATTACCAAGGCAGGGGGGAGTAGAAGGGGGGAGGGGTTGGGTTGGGTTACTGCAACACAATGGAGGCCAGGAGGACTCTGGTGCCCAGGGCTATGTGGGCAATTGGGGCATCTCTTAATACTTTCATGACCAGTGGTAAATGTTAATGAAAACAACCACCACCAAAAAAAATACAAGTAAAAAAATCCAACAAGACTAGTGAAGACTCAGGTCCTTTGGAAATGAAGGATTTCCCACAAAGATACCCAGAGCAGGTTCTACCGGAGGGCAAAGGAGCTAAAGAATGGACAGCTGAGGAAGGAAGCCATGGTTTTTCCTACAACCTCATCTCACTACCAGTTACAGAAATGAGGGCGGTAGCAGCTTTGTATATCTTTTTTGGTTGTCATGTGCATAGGTTTATTTTCTAACCATTTTCCTCTCTCCTCCCAATTTTTATTTTATAAACAAGTTGCTGGAGGTTAGCATTTTGGTGTAATCTTTAGGTGACTGAATTTTCAGTGGAACCATGACTGAATTTGGGGACCAAGTATAGCGATGGGTGCCGTGACTGTTGGGTCTGTACATCTTCTCATTTTGGGGAGAACTTCACGTGTCACAAGATGGCTGTGTCTTTTAAGGGAGAAATAGGATTATTTAGTTATTGTAAGGGAGTCCAAATGTGTGTAAACTTTTGCTGATGGACACCAGCTAGCCAAAGAATGGATTGGGCTGTTATAGGTGTATTACCTCTCAGGTCTGATTCTCTGCTGCAGCATCTGCACAGCATTCACAGACTAGACTCTGATTGGGACTCCTTACGGCGAGCGTGATGTCAAGTTTTGTAGCGAGGGCGTTAGAAGGGGGAAGTGGCTTCCTTTCGTGTTTTGCTTTGTGTTACTTCTTCACAGTCCTTCACAGCATCTGGCAGTGCTCTGCCCAGCCGCATGCCCAGAGAGGGCATCCCTTGGAGTCTGGCCCGGGCCCAGTGCCCTTTCTCCCTGGTTCTTCTAATATGGACGCAGCACAGTCCAGAACGTGCCCTCGCATCAGCTCTCCACTCTCTCCGCATGTCTGTCCTCCAGCCTCAGTATGCCTGTGGCCTGGAGGTCGTTTCTCATGACTTTCCCGGTGCGGTCGCTGCAAGCCCAGGCTCACATTCACACGGGCACCCCAGCGCCCTCTGTGCACCCACCCCCTGCCTTGGCTCACCTGTGCTCTCTGGGGTTGAGTCAAGAACTGTGAAGGGCTGCACTTCTACCTGCTTCAGGCTAACCAGTTGGCATGTTCTTGTTTTCCAGATGCTGGCAGGAGGCACGAGGTTCCCGGGTCAGAGTTTACTCACAGAAGAACCAGTAGCCAGAGCTCCATGTTGGCATTGGTTCCCCCAGTCCCTGGCTGTGAGGCAGACGGGCCTGGATGCGGGCATGCACATGTGGGGCACGTGTCCCAGGAGGGCACGCTGAGCTGGGGGTCTCGCTGCTTTCACACCAAGTGCTGATGAACTCATCGTTTGTGCTCCTTTCTCAAGGTTGCTCCCTGCACCAGCCCCGAGCCTGGATAAAGCATGGCAAGGGGCTGGCATTCTTGGCATGCCTGGCAGTAACATTCAGGACACTCGGGGCCGTGGGGGTTTCCTGCTGCCCTCACCTGTGGACCAGCTCTGGCCTGGGCAGACAGCAAACTTCTCCAACATGGTATGAACCCCAGGCTTGGGGAGGGTGCCCCTTCTAAGACTGCTCTTCCTTGGTTTTCCTCCTGCAACCATAGGCTGCCCTTTGGATTTCTCTGTGTAATTACTGTCCTGTCCCAGTTTCATGATTCTCTATGTTAAACTTGCCCTGTTTAAATTACCATGTGGTTTCTGTCTCTTGCTGGACCCAGACTGATACATTAGTCAGCAAGAAAAATAAAAGGATTTATTATTATTTTTTTTTGTTACTCGTTTGTTAGTCTAAAATGATTTCAAAAGAAAAATATTAAAAATATACTATGTGGAAAATGTAAACAGCAGAAGGGCAAAATGGAGGAAAACAATAGTGCTGATGTCTGAAATCAGTAGTTAGTTTTGAATATATAAAATCCTCGAACTGATGTACTATGATCTGTTTTTTGTTTGTTTTTTTACTTCCAACACCAAATGTGTGGGTTTTTACCCCCTCACACTAACCAACTTTCCTTCATCAGCGGGTGTCCTACAATTCAATACAACTCTGACACCATCTACCTGAAATTAATGCAGACACCACTTCAGACATAATTGCAAGTCCCGAGCCACACGTGCTTCTGACTGCTTGCCTGTAAATTGGAGGTTCCCATGACCCTCTCCTCAGGTTCAATAATTTGCTAGAACAGCTCACAGAAAAACAGTTTACTTATTATTATTGATTTATCATAAAGACTATAACTTAAAATGGAAGAGATGTGTGAGGTGAGGTTCAGGGGTGGCCGAGCGTCTGATCTCTCCGGCGGCCCCACTCTCCGAGCACCTCCACCATGTGTTCACCCACCTGGGAGTTATCTGAACCCCATCCTTTTGGGATTTTATGGAGGCCCATTACATAGGCATGATTGATTAAGTCACTGGCCATTGGCGAGTATCTCACTCCTGAGTTTGGGGGTGGGGCTGAAAGGTCCAACCCTCTAATCACAACATTGGTTTCCTTGGTGACCAGACCCCATCCTGAAGCTCTCTAGGGGCCCACAGAGTCACCTCATGAGCATAATTTCAAATGTGGTTGAAACGGGCTCATTGAGAATAACAGAAGATGCTCCTCTCACCCCATCCCCCAGGGAACTGCAAGGCTTTAGAAGCACTGTGCTGGGACTCAGGATGAAGACCAAATATATATTTCTTATTAGAGCGCAATATCACATGATGTAATAAGACATTGTAAATGTACATAGCCCACCCAGAAAAGGCATATGTACTATTTCCCAAATAATAAAAAAGCTTAGGGAGATAGAACCAACAGAGGCTGGTTGCTGGATAGCGATCACTACCTGGCTGTGTGTGACCTTGGAACAAAGGTGTCTACTGTGAGTGACAGCGGCCTGACCCCTCTGGCTTTGCCATCTTTGTAGTCAAGAGTCATCTGCTTGGTTCGTGTTTGTGGCACTGTTGAAAAATGCCCAGCATTCCCATCTGCAAAATAGGATGACTGGGAGGAGATGACAGAGTCTCCGCCCTTCCCACGTCTAGGCTACCGTTGCTCTCAATGCCAGAGGCACCTCCTGTAGGCCTGTTGGTAAAGACCTACTGAGGGGTTGGCTCCAGGAGGTGGGTGGGGATGCGGGCTCAGCATTGGTCATGGCAGGGGAAGGGTCCACTTCCCAGGCAGCAGTGCCTTCGCTACCCAGGCAGGGCACAACACTTCTGCCAAGGTCTCCTGCCACTTGGGCTCCTTCTCCCTCAGCCCACCTTCCCTCTACTCAGCAAACCTTCACTGCTTCATTCAGTAAGCAGACCTCGGCCTCGCAGTGTCTGCTCAGGGGGCAGGGAGAGCCATTCGGGTTTGAGTTTTCCAGGAGGAAAGGCCTTGGGCAGCAGCATTGTTCTCTCGCACAAAGGACTGCCATGCGCCACCAAGCTGCTCACGAGGTTGGCTACAGTGGCCCAAGCCCATTGAGAGAAAAGGGCGCCTGTGTTCCACAGACGTGGGAGAAGGGACAAAGGCTTCTGTTGTAGAAACTGCAAGTGTGGAGGCCATGAGAATCAATTGTCTTTCCTGTTCTAAAGAAAGCTGCTACCAGCTGCAGGAAGCCAAGGGTCAGGGCTCGTGGCTGGAGTCGAGGGGCTGGGTTCAAATCCTGCCTCTGAAGAGACTTTGAGCAAATGGCTTAACCAGTCTCAGCCTCCATGAAAGTGGAAAAGCGGGTACCCTTCAGAGGATTGGGGGTGGAGTGAAAGAAATTGTGCACACATGCGTGTGCATATGCACATGTATGAGTGTGAAGTGCCTCATCCACTCAATTAATGGTCACTGTTATCTTAAAAGGTACTACTTTTGTCTACCAAAAGAACCTGGACCTGGCCTACCTGGTTTTGCCCAGTGGTTAGAGCATCAGCCTGAGGACATGGGTTTAATTCCGGTCAAGGGCACATACCTCGGTTGCAGGCTAGCTCCTGGCCCTGGTCGAGACAGGGGTGGGAGGCAACCAATCAATGTGTGTCTCTTACATCGATGTTTCTCTGTTTTTCCCCCTTCCCTTCCTTTCTCTCTAAAAGTCAATGGAAACAGTTTCCTCAGGTGAGATTAACAACAGAACCGGGGCCTGTCAGGTGAACTCCTGGTACAGAAAGCAAAGCAAAGCAAAGAACAGGACAGAGACTTCTTTCTGCGCCCGCATGTGAGGGGCCAGAAGTGTGGAATGAACTCACTGGCTAATTTAGAATACTCTGAGTCCAGGAGGCCCCCAATGTGGCCAATTGTGATAGCGTATCTGTATTTTGTGAGTATCGTGTTTTATTATTTTTACACTACTCCAAATTCCATGAATCCATTTGGGTTCTAACCAGTCATTCCAGAATCGCTGCTCCCTCTCAGAAGGGCAGCCCAGCGTGAGCGGAGCTGCCGGGGTTTGCTTTGGATCCATGGCAACGTGAGGGCCAGCTCCAAACAGCGGGGCTCTTGTTTTTGTTTTTGTTTTTTCTTTTAAAATTTGAGAAGGAGCTGGAGCCGGGAGCACAGGGAGCACACTCTCCTCAGCCTTGCTTTGTGTGTGTGTGGTTTCTTGCCCAGGGAACTGCTGCCAGGAGAAGGCATCAAAAGGAAAAACCAGCTTTCCCCATTTGGTGGAACTCAGTCGCAAACATTTACTTGAGTATGCTTTTTATAACCTTTAAGGACTCCTGGGCATTTGCTATAAAATCATCTCAGGTTTAGAGTTAAAAAAAAAATCACTATATTAGCCTCTTTGCTTTTTTTTACTCAATGGGAACATTTTTTTAAATTTACTTCGTTATCATCACACGTTTTTATAACTTTGTCCTCTGGAGGGCCCGGAATAGCACACAGCATTCAACCACATTAAGCTAAGCACATGTGTCAAACACAAGGCCCGCGGGCCAAATCCGTCCCGCCAGGCCTTGCAATGTGGCCCGCACCGCGCTGTCATCACTGCACTCCACTGCGTTTCCATCACAATGACAGTTTATGACTGTTCAGTAAACCATTCGGCCCGCGATTTAGGCTGGATTTTAGATTTTGGCCCCTTCTCTGATTGAGTTTGACACCCCTAAGCTAAAGGAACAACAACAAAAACCTAATCAGAGGAGTGTGGAAATTGTTAAACTAATGAGGACTCACACACTTTGACTTAAAAATGCTTCTGTGAGACTGAGCCATCTCCATCCAACAAGAACGATCCAGGAGGTGGCAATGAGTTCCTTATTTTGAGATTTAAATAAAAAAGGTACCAAAGAAAATAGAGAATATGAGAGATAAAGACATGTAAACCAGTAAGCATAATTCCTAGTAGTATATAATTATGTTTTCCTTTCTAATAATTATTCCTTTTACTTAGTCATTGACTTACTTGCCTTATTGTGCTAGCCAGGATTTCCTCTGGTTGTATATTGATTTGTTATGATTTCATATCTACTTGTGAAGTGGTTTTGATCTAAGGGTGAATTTGTTTACTTGAGGGGTTTGTGTTAAGGTGATGTCCTCAAAATCATTGTGGAGGAGCGACTATGATGTACTTATTTAAACTTTAATTCCAAGAGGAGTCTGTGAGGACTGACCGAGAGTGCTCAGTCTGGGAAAAGTTACTTTTTTGCTGATCCAAATAGTTCTCTGAAGACCTGGGGTGGCCAGGCTATTCTGTGCCAGCAGCGATGAAAACTGCAGCGGACTATGAAGGAGACCACCTTGCCCGCCAACACCGGTGCCTTTGTTCCACTCCAGTCTTGCTCTAGTGACAAGGGACTTGCAGTTAGCGCTGGCAGCTGGACATCAGCAGTTGGCTGGCTAAACCAACTCTTCGGAGAACCGACTTGTAGAAAGGTCTACTTTAACTAAATTTGGACTTGAATGCTTTCATCTCCTCTTTGCCTGGAATAATAGTATAACTAATCTATCATTGGTTTGGAATATACATACGAGAGCCCCAGTGCCTGAATTTGTGCATGGGTGGGGTCCCTCTGGGTGGCCTGCAGGGATTGGGCTGAAACCTGCAGCCCAACGCTGCCTGCAGCTCCTGCCTGCTGCCTGCCCAGGCTCATGCCCACTCAGTCCTGCTGGTGCTGCTCTTAGCGAGGTGTTCTCCCACGGGGAGTGGTCTGTGGGATCAGGCTGAAACCTCTCCGACATCCCCTGAGGCGTCCAGGCCAGGCTCAGGGACCCCACCGGTGCACCAGCTGGGGAGGGACTGTGCAGGGCTCTGTAAGAAGATTTTTAAGTCAGTATCTTTAACAGATATAGAACTATGCAAGTTTCCCAAATATTCCTGTTCAGTTTTGGTAATGTGTTTTTCAAGAAATCTGTGGCATTTATCAATTTTTTTTCAAAAGTTTTGTGATATGTTTATCATCTTTTAAAAATTTACAGAATCTGTAATGAATTTTTTTTTAATCCCTCATATTGGTACTTTGTATCCCTGTCCCTTTTTAAATACACATACCATAAAATTTACCACTTTAGCCAGCTCTAAGTGTAGAGTTCAGTGTATTAAGTACACTCGTGTTGTCCACCCATCGCCAACATCCATCTCCGTTACTCCTTTCATTTTATAGAATTGAAGCCCTGCACGCTGCCTCTCCCAGCTCCCCCGGCCCGAGACCATCGGGAAGTCGCGCTAACGTCATCTCTTTCTCTTTTAATCTCAAACTTCCTTTTGGGAAATCAAAACGCAGTCTCGCGGCTCCCATCTGTCAGATGGAAAGAATGACAAATGAGAGTCATTTAACTGGTAAGTTTTAACAGCGCACGCAGTGAGATGAACTGAATTACTACAAGAGAAGCAGAGAACGGGAGTGCCGGGTCCAGACACGATGGCCATTCATCGCTCGTCCACGGGTCTCCATCCCGGGCCAGCACGGCCCGCGGCCCGCTCCCGCTCCCCGATCGTGCGCACAGCCCCGCGCCCCGCGCCCCGCGCCGCCCCCAGGCCGGACGGTCCACGCGGGGCCCGAGAGCGCCGCGCCTGCGCAGGCCGAGGCCGCGGCCCCGCTCCTCGGGTCCGGGGGGCGCGTCGGGAACGCGCATCCGCGGGGCGGGCTTTCCCCGCTGACGGCGTGCGCGCACCGCGCCTGCGCGGGCTGAGGGCGGCGGCTCCGGCTCCCGCTCGCGCTCCGCTAGGTGCCGTCCGCCCCTCGGCGCTAGCGGTGTGGACGCCGAACTCGGCGGAGAGACGCGGCTGAGGTAGGCTTTCCGTGGGCAGCTCGGGGCGCCGGGCCGCGCGTGGGCAGGACATGCCAAGTGAGAGGGCTTCGCTCGGCGTGTGCGTGGCCAGCGCCCTGGGGCCTCCGCCCCATCCGAGACCACCCGGCTCCTTCCGACCTCAGCGCTTCGCGCTGTGTTGGCACACTGCCAGCCTGGCATTCGCCCCTTCCCGGGCCCCGCCCCTCCGCCACGCCCCTTTACCCAGCCACGCCCCCCCGTGACACGCCCACTTCCCTCGGTCCCCGCCCCCTTTTCATCCTCCCCGCCCCCCGCTGTGAGCCCTCGTCATCCTTTCTTGCCTGCTTGCTCCTCCATTGGCGGCATCTGTGCCCCGCCCCCTGTCTTCACTCCCCCCACCTGTCACGCCTCCCCTCCTCGGCCACCTGCCCCTCACGATCCTGGGCCACTTATCCCACAGTGCGCGCAGCCTGCGCCCCTTTGCAGGACTGGCCTTCCTCGGCCCCACCTCGGCCTGGGTCCTCAGGGCAGTCTTCCCGCCCGCCAGACCCCGCCCCCAGGCTCCGCCCCCGCCCGCCAGGCCCGCCCCACTCTCCAGGCCCCGCCCCTCCCACCAGGAGGCCCCGCCCCTCCCCCTGCCCAGCCCTGACCCACCCTGGTCCCAGGGCAGTGTTTTCCAATGAAAATGTAACGTATGCATATTAGTATTTGTAATTCTAAATGTCACAAAATAATTATTAAGTCTTTTTTTGCTTACATTTCTTTGTTGATTAAGGTATCACATATTTGTCTTCATCCCCCATTCCCATCCCAAACCCCTCCCCACGCATGTCCCTACCCCCTTGTTGTCCTTGACCACTGGTTAGGCTCACATGGATGTAATTATTAGGTCTTGATTGATAAGTGAAGCACGCATTTTAAACAGAATTGAAAAAAAAAAACCCCTCAGTGTCTAATATGGACTGCACTATCGCTGGAAAAATAAGAATTGATAATGAGAAGGAAAAGCCTTTGGAAGATGCAGACCTTGGTTCCTGTTAGTGGAAATACTTTGAAGCCTCAGGTAGGGAAGTTTAATTGGAAGGAAAGCTAACAGGATTCCAAGGAAAGATTTACAGCGCTGTGTGTTCAATCAACCCAGTGATGGGACAGAAACTAACAGGCTGCGTTTGGCCACTGAGTAAGATTAACACCTTGCAGACTGGTGAAGAAAACACACATTTCTTTGAAGTTCATAAATTTTCCGTTGTTTTTGTAAAGAACTGCATTTATAAATTTTATTTCTGTCTCATTCTTTAAACATACATTTTTATTTGTACATGGTAGAGGACCTTGTCATGGACCATAGAAGGGAGGTGAACGTAATGATTATGCGATGTAACAAGTCATTTTCTCATTCCCTCTATTTTAAAGTAGAAACGGAGAGGAAAATGAAACATTAAAAGTGGCAGCTATGTGGCAGATCCTAAAAGAACTATGGCAACTTCAGGTGACTGCCCCGGAAGTGAATCTCAGGTAATTTCAGTTCTGGTCTGGGAGAACCTGTACTTAAACACTGGGAACGTGTCAGAGAGCTGAGATCAGCCGGGAGTGATAGTGCTCTCCTTGGATTTAGGAAGATGGCCACCAACTATGGTGTGCTTAAATGCAGAAAATGCAGTGTCTACGGTTGACATTCTGAATTGGGCACTGTAAAAATTTCCCAAGAACCCAGTGTTCCATCTTTGGTACCTGTGCTGGTGAAACAGGCACATTTTCTTAGTTGTTAAGAAAGTCTCAGGCATGATATGTTAAAACAGGTCAGATACATTAGAAAAGATTTGTGTAACTCATACACATAGTTTCATTCAAGTTAGCAGTAAAAGTCACCTTAAATTTCAAGGAATATTGATTAGGAAAAATTAAAAACCAAATGAATTGTCTAATAAATAATGTTTATAAAGAAATTAAACAATTTTAGGTTTGTGATGTCAAGTGTAACATTTCCCCTGTTGCATTCTAATGGTTGTTGTAATTTCATTAGGGTTTTAAAAAAGAGACTTTTATTGATTTTGAGAGAAAGAAAGAAGTGGGGAGGAGAGATAGAAAGAGAGGAGAGGAGAGAGAGAAGCATTGGTTTGTTTTTCTACCTATTTATGCACTTATGGTTGCTTCTTTTTTAAAAAAAATATATTTTATTGATTTTTTACAGTGAGGAAGGGAGAGGAATAGAAAGTCAGAAACATTGACGAGAGAGAAACATTGATCAGCCCCCTCTTGCACACCCCCTACCAGGGATGTGCCCGCAACCAGAGTTCATGCCCTTGACCGGAATTGAACCCTGGCCCCTTGAGTCTGCAGGCCGATGCTCTATCCACTGAGCCAAACCGGTTTCGGCTCGTGGTTGCTTCTTATATGTTCCTTTATTGAGGATGAAATCTACAATCTTGGTGTATCAGGACGACAGTCTAACCAACTGAGCTGCCTGGCCAGGGCTTGAGTTTTTATATATAGAAATTTTATTTATATTTGGGTCATTTTATTAATCATTTTCTTAAAATTAATCCCCATAAAATATTTAAAAAATATTTTTATTGATTTCAGAGAGAAGAAGGGAGAGGAAGAGGGGGAGAGAGAATCTATTATAAGAAAGAATCATTATAACATCTATTTAACATCTATTATAAGAGAGAATCACTGATTAGGTGCCTCCTGCACATCCCCTTCTGGGGATCGAGCCTGCAACCCCAGCGGGTGTCCTGGCCGGGAATCGAAACGTGACCTCCTGGTTCATGGATCCACACTCAACCACTGAGCCACACTGGCAGGCAATCATAAAATGTTTTAATTCCATGGTTATCTCATTTTTCTTTTGAGAAATGTTTGAACATTTATAGAATGAAGATTGCAAACATCAAGTACATATTGCTGAGAAGTGAAAATTTGTTAACATTTTGTCGTGTTTGCTTTAGCATACACCCACACACATACAGGACATAAAACAAAACCACTGATAAAGTTTGTTTCCCAACCGCAGGCCCAGCTTCCTTTGTCTTCAGAGGCAAACACCACTAAGAATTATGAATTGAACATTGTGCTTCTGCACCAGTTTTATACTTATTATAACCTATTTTGGGCATCTTTAGAATTTAAAAATGTACATACTGGGACGGAGTGCTGCCATGACCTGGAACCGCGGTTGGAGGTCCTGCCACCTTTGGCGATGTCTTCCAGGCCGGCCCCTTCCGCTGTGAAGTGGAGCCGGGCAGCATGCAGGTCCCTGGGGGGTAGGGCCTTCCTCTCGGTCCTGAGCAGCATGTGTCAGTGGCAGTGCTGCCCAGTGAGGCCACACCCGGTGCCAGGTCACCAGCTCCTTCCCTAGGCCTTCAGCGAGGCCCCCGAGGCCCCTCCAGCTCTGTGTTCAAGCCCCATGAGGTCCCCACGGTGCGACAGGCAGAGACAGGACTTCCTTCTCCTGGGACTGGGCATCATTTTCAGGAGGCTTCCCAGATGCTCAGAGGTCAGTCACTTCATAGACACTAAAAATGCCTCTTTCTTTGATGTTCTATTGAGGTTGCAGATCATTTTGTACTAGAGATAAGAGGTAAAGGTGGAATGCAGGTCAGACCCCTCAGTTCTGCTAGTGAGGATGACACCCAATTGTTTGTTTGATAAAGACTTGGGTCAGTTGAATCTTTGTAAAACTATCCTAATAACCCAGAGGCTCCACTCCCACCCGCCCCCCGCCCCCCAGAAAAAGAAAAGAAAGAGAAGCCCATGGTAATTTCCCTGTTCTCTGGCTTTGGGCAGCGGGGAGAAGAGCCTGTGGACCACTGTGAGCAGCCCCTCCCGGAGGGGGTGCACCCCCAGGAGTTCGTGGCCATCGCGGACTATTCTGCCGCCGACGAGACTCAGGTAGCGTGTGCGTCAGGCCCATGCTGTGTGGACCCCAGCGTGCCCGGCATTAGGTGAAATGTCGGAAGGAGGTGACGTTTTTCAGGAAGTCACGCTAAAGTTAAAGAAGCGTTCAGAAGTTTAGAGCCCCCTGAGGCCCGCGAGTGGCCCATCCTTCCTTCCCAGCCTATAACTGGGAATTGGAATTGTGATCCCAAGCCCGATGTGAGAGATGCCTGTGTGAGCAATGGGGGAGGAAGTACCTGCTCCAGTTTCTGCTTGGCAACCTTGATTCAGAACCTGTCCTTGTTACTGAAAAATAAGGTTATAAAATAAAAATCCCTGCTCGAACAGGGCTTTCTTTGCTTTGAAACAGGAATTCCCTAGCCAGGGCCTCCAGCCACGTAATCGGCCATCACAAAGCGGAGTTTCAGCGGAGAGGCTGTTGAGGGTTTCTGTCCTAAGCCTTTTGAAAATGTTTACTCTTTCTTTTAAAAAATACCAATTAAGCTGTGCTTTTCTTTCATGTAGATGGATAAAGCCACAAAAATCTCTTAAATCCTGGCGCCATTTGCATAAGTTGTCACTTGGTATAAACACCTATTGACTTGTTTTTGAAATGCTGTGATTGGGGCCCCAGTGATACGGGATTTATTACAAAGTCACAGTTGAAATGACAACTGCATGTTTTTCTTGAATTTTCACTTCTCCATGTGTGTTTTCAGCTCAGTTTTCTGAGAGGAGAGAAGATTCTCATCCTGAGACAAACGACTGCTGACTGGTGGTGGGGCGAGCGCGCCGGGTGCTGTGGGTACATACCAGCCAACCACCTGGGGAAGGACCTGGAGGAGGGTGACCCCGAGGACACGTGGCAGGATGAGGAGTACTTCAGCAGCTACGGAACTCTGGTATTGCTTTCAGACTGCCTGGTCAGCTGGCCACGTTCCAACTTTTCAAAATGATTCCTGGGCTTCCACTCATCTCCGTTTAGAGCAGGGCTTGTAGGCCACACCCTTTGATTCCGGGCCACTTGGCTCTGCTATCGTGTGAAAGCAGCCCCCAGAACACAAAGAAGCCAGCAGGGCTGTATTTCAAGAAAACTTGATGACTCTGAAATTATAATTTCACATAATTTTTATGTGTCCTATTCTTCTTCTGATTTTTAAAAATCATTTTAAAATGTAAAAGCTATGCTTAGATTGCAGGCTATACAAAAGCAGGTGGTAGGGCTGGATTGGCCCATGGACTGTAGTGTTATTTGATTCCTGGTTTAGGGATATTATTTGAGCAATGAGATTATGAACTTTTCTTGGTATTTTAAAAAAAGTTATCAATTTTATTTAAAAAATACAAAAAAAACGACATATAGCAACAACAATAATACCTCTATATAACTACCGTGTTAGTCTATTTTTTTTTCTTCAATATGGATAAAGACCCATAATCCTATGGTCCAGACAGCCCCATTTATATTTTAAAACTAGATCAAAACTGATACTTGTAGATCGAATGTTATAAACCTAATATGGAATGAAAGAAGCAATATATCAAAGAACAGTTAATGTTTGATTTGATTATATAAAGTTAAAAGGTATTGTTTATGGTGAGTGTACACAGAAGTGGAACTCTGAAGGAGATTGGGGACCTGGTTCCTCTGAGGACCTGAAGGATGCGGTGGGTCATCGGGGGCTCTGATCCGCGAGGCTGGGATGGGAACATTTGGGGCGCTAGCAGTGTTCTAGTATTGGTTGCTCTGTAACTGGATTTGATAACCTTTTTGTAGGTATGTCATAGTTCACAATAAAAAAATGCTAAATTCAATGAAGAACTGTTGGTATAAATGGACATAATGATGTTTCAGTCAACAACGGGCCACGTATGTGATGGTGGTGTACCATGTGGCCAAGGTATGCAGTGGGCTGTACCATCTAGGTTTGTGACAGGGCACTCTGTGATGTGCACATGACAGAATCGCCAAATAATGCATTTCCCAGAAGGGATCCCATGCATGACTGCATGGTTAGAACTTTCAGTCTCTTAAGAAAGACATAATGAAATCCAGAGTCCGTGCCCTCACTGAAGAGGCCGCTGCACCTTGTAAGTCCTCTCAGCTGCAGTGTTTATGCTTCCACCAAGGAAGTCCTGCTGAAGTTAAACAAGTGTTCAGAATTTTAGGGCCACGTGAGGCCTGTAGGTCTAAGCTGCATCAGTTTTATTTTTTTAAATTTATAGAAAAGGAATGTTCCACACACACACTTTTCACGTAGCTATGTTATTTTGAATGTCTGTTCTTTGTATCAGCTACAGAGTATTGTGTTGCTTATAAAAAGATTGTGTTGGTAGACTGTGCGTAGTTAATGGCTTTTTATCATGACAAGCAGTGCTGTGATGGATGTCCTCCTACACGAGTACTGCTCAACTTTGCTAGAATTTCCATTGGGTAAATTCATAGGGTGTGTGTATGTTTTTTGCTTTAGTGGATTTTGCCAATTCGCCCTTCCAAAAGATTTGTTGATTGTACACCCACCAGTGGTGTGTGGGTACCTATTTTACTATCACAAAGCATCTAAGGGAAACAATATTTTAAATTTAAATTCTCTATTGTTTAAAATATTGCATAAGTCTCCTTTTCTCCCCATTGGCCCCTCTTTGACTTCCTCTACCCTCCAGCACATGCCCTCCTGTGTCCATTGGTTATGCTCATATGCATGTATACAAGTCCTTTGGTTGATCTCTTACCCCCTCACTCCTTGCCTTCCCTCATAGGTTGGACAGTCTATTCAGTGCTTCTATGACTCTGATTCTATCCATCAGTTTATGTTGTTCATTATATTCCACAAATGAGTGAGGTCATGTGATATTTATCTTTCTCTGACTGGCTTATTTCACTTAACATAATGCTCTCTATGTTCCATCAATGTTGTTGCAAATGGTAAGAATTTCTTCTTTTCTATAGCAACATACCCTGTTTCCCCGAAAATAAGACAGTGTCTTATATTAATTTGTTCTCCCAAAGTTGCGCTAGGTCTTATTTTCAGGGGATGTCTTATCTTTCCATGCGCTAGTTCTTATTTTCGGAGAATGTCTTATTTTTGGGAAAACACGGTAGTATTCCATTGTGTAGATGTACCACAGTTTTCTAATCCACTCCTCTGTTGATGGGCACTTAGGCTGTTCCTAAATCTTAGCTATTGTAAATTGTGCTGCTGTGAACATAGGGTGCATATATCCTTTCTGGTGTTTCTGATTTCTTGGGGTATATTCCTAGAAGTGATATCACTGGGCTAAATGGGAGTTCCATTTTTTATTTTTTTGAGGAAATGCCATACTGTTTTCCACAGTGGCTGCACCAGTCTGCATTCCCACCAGCAGTGCATGAAGGTCCCTTTTTCTTCACATCCTCTCCAGCACTTGTTGTTTGTTGATTTGTTGATGATAGCCATTCTGACAGGTGTGAGATGGCACCTCACCATTGTTTTGATTTGCATCTCTTGGATGATTAGTGACTTTGAGCATGTTTTCATGTCTCTTGGTTTTCTGTAAGTCCTCTTTTGAAAAGTGTCTATTTAGGTTCTTTGCCCATTTTTTGATTGGATTATTTATCTTCCTTTTGTTAAGTTGTTTGAGTTCCCTATACATCTTGGAGATTAAACCCTTATCAGAGATAACGTTGGCAAATATGTTCTCCCATGCAGTGGGCTTTCTTGTTGTTTTATTGATGGTTTCTTTTGCGGTGTAAGGAGGAGCTGCATGCCCCTCACTGAGGCTGGAAGAGTCCAGAAATTTCCAGTTTGTTCCTTCACTGTTTACTCTTCATCTGTTGGCATATTTTGGTCTTTTGACTGCTCATGTGTTTATATGTGGGGTAGAGGGGGTTAACCTAGGCCCTCCTGTTCCACCTTAAACCGTAGCTCAGTGCAGCTCTCATTACAGGCCATGACTCACACTGTGCTTTTCCCGCAGAAACTTCACCTGGAGATGCTGACAGACCAGCCACGAACAACGAAGTACCACCACGTGATCCTGCAGAACAGGGCGTCCCTCAAAGACAAAGTGATTCTGGATGTGGGCTGCGGGACCGGGATCATCAGCCTCTTCTGTGCACATTATGCGCAGCCCAGGGCGGTGAGTCGGAACGAGCCTCGGTGACACGCCCTTTGCGTGCCAGCCATCATGTTGACAGAGTTGGCAGCGTATCCACGAAGGCAGCAGTCGGAGGTCATGTCATCGGTTAACGAGCCAGCGCAGACTGTGATAGGACAGATAGAAAATGTCCCCATGAGCTGCACGTGGTGTGTAGCTTTTTGAAACATTTTATTTCCCTTGGATAGAGAAACACATGCATCCCACATGTGTAGGTCACATCCACATGTCGTCCCTACCCTGAGCAGGGACTACTCGGCAGGGACAGGGCAGACCTCACTCTCTGTCTTTAAAGCGCGCCTGGGCTGTGCAGAGTCGCCGTCCCTTGCACGGGCTGATGTAATTCCTAGTGTACAGATGAGCTGCGTGCAGGGACCACCCGAGTTCGGATCCTGTTGGAACCAGGACATGGTGCTCAGGGCCCTCCTGGATTGAAATGATGCCAGAGGCCACTGGTATCCTAAAAGCCGGGCTGTCCTCAGATGAGAGCCGAGAACCTCCTGCGTCAGTTAGGGATTGCCGCTGCATGAACAGGAGTTGGCTCTGGCCTTACCCAGGGGGCCTCGGGGCAGGCGGCCCTGGGCGGGCGCAGAGGCTTCTGTTCACGTGCGGCCCCAGGTCTTTTAGGCCGAAGGAGGGGTTAGAGCTCCCTCCCCAGGGCTCCCTCTGAACAGTGGGCACACTGGCCCCTCCGCCCTCGGCACGCTGTCTTCCTGCTGTCCCTGCCGTTTGCCATGTACTCCGGTGCAGATTCTGACTCAGCCGAGGCGGTGACAGGCTGAGCAGTGCCAGCACGTGCACTGATGGTGCCTCTGCCACACGCAGGTGTACGCGGTGGAGGCCAGCGAGATGGCCCAGCACACGGGGCAGCTGGTCATGCAGAATGGCTTCGCCGACATCATCACCGTGTTCCAGCAGAAGGTGGAGGACGTGGTGCTGCCAGAGAAGGTGGACGTGCTGGTGTCCGAGTGGATGGGGACCTGCCTGCTGGTGAGGGCGGGGCAGCGGCTGGGCTGGTCTCTGGGATCTCCTTCACAAATCATGGTTCATCTTGACGTTTTCTATAAGGTCAGATGTAATTGAGTTTTTACAATATATGAACATTGGCCTAGTGTCTTATTTTTAACTGATTAAAAAAAAATGCCTTTATAAGAATCTGGTATAACAACACCATTTAAAATGGAAGAAAATTGGGAAAAGTACAAATAACTGTGGCAGTCTAAATAAGGGAATACTCCATGGCCATTAAAAATCGGGCTTTAGGAAGTTTCTCGATATACATAGAGAAAAGTTAGTGATAGTTTGTTGGTTCTAAAAAAAAAAAAAAAAGCACAGAAAGGTAATTGCAGTATGATTCCAGTTTTATTTGTAAAATCACATGTGACAGCGACTGAGCTTCAGGTCCAGGTGAGATGGAGTGGGCATGTCGTGGTAACTATTGAGTGACCGACTGACCGAGGTGGGATGGGAGTGAAGGTTAGTTTGGCCGTTAGCCACGCCCAGTTCTAAATTCTAACTGAAAATGATGTGACTTAAACCCGCGCTGTAATAGGAGGTGACCTTTGATGTGTGGGTACTACAATAGAAACCCTCCAAGACGTGTTGGCTGGTGATACTCTTGAGGGTTAAACTTGTAACGATCCCAGACCGTGCGAATGCCGCAGGGATGTCTGCAGACACTGGCCTCAGTCACCGTGTCTCCCGTGTGCCTCTCCCTCCCATGCAGTTTGAGTTCATGATTGAGTCCATCCTGTACGCCCGGGATGCGTGGCTGAAGGAGGGGGGGATCATCTGGCCGACCACGGCCGCGCTGCACCTTGTGCCCTGCAGTGCCGACAAAGACTACCGCAGCAAGGTTCTCTTCTGGGACAACGCCTACGAGTTCAACCTCAGCGCGCTCAAGTGAGTGTCCGGGGCTCAGGCACCCACAGGCGCGCTCGGGCCTCCCGCAGGGTGGACTGCGGGCATTTCTAGGGCAGAGTAACGCACTCTGTTACAGAGCTTGCCATGAAACGAAATTTAGTCATGTGTCTGAGCATTTTGCATGCTGCCCTTAATGCATTTTAAACTGATAACAGCTATGATGGGAATTGCACTGTCTGTTGCAATCTAAGGTCCCAAATATAACGGGAAAAATAACGTAATGTTTATGGACAAGACCTTTATAAATGCGTGGGCCATTGAAACACAAATATATGTTCCCACTGAGAGCTATACATTTTCAAGGATCAGAACATTTGATTTCTTGGTTTTTAACATGTGACACTCTTGCACAGTTGAGCCTCAGGTTTGATTTCCTGATAAGGCCGTCCCATTTCTAGGCTGCCCCCTCAGGGAAGGATGGCAACATAAGCTGGCGGCTGCTTCTGAGAGTTCCATGGTAACTAAGCCCTGGAAATTAGGGAAGGGCCATCTGTCAGAAGCTGCAGGAAACTTCATTCATGTAGCAAGGACCAGGTGAGCCCGGATGCCTGCTGGACATCCAGATGGGGAGTAGACGGCAAGACGGGGGCCTCTGTGCCTCTTGTTTTTTATTAAAAAATGGAAGAGAAATAAGTGTCAGCTGAAGGTCACTGCTGCCAATTCCATGCCAATAGGAGTCCCCAGCCTGGGGTGCCGTGCAGGAGAAACTTGATTCAGTGAAACAGCTTGTCTGTGAGCACAGCTCCTGTTGCAGCTCAGTTTGCCAACCAGGGAAACACAGCCATCGCGATCCACTGAGACAGGGGAGGTTGGCTTATGCCCTGTCCTTGTGATTGGTCTATTTTCATGTACATGAGGAATCCAAATTTGTACAGTTTGATTGGCCCAAATAGCACTGCTCTGAAGTGGTCAGCCCCTGAATTCTGATTGGCCAGTATAGACACAAATGAGAATAGTATTGCACAGCTCTCATTGAGGGGGGCAGGTCTTCAGCCCTTGGGTAGACTTTCGGTCCTAGGAGCTCTCTTACAAGGGAAAAGAGGAAGGAACACAGTGCTGGAGGCTGCTGCTTGTCCCTGAACGATGCAGTGTGCATGAGGGGCCCCTGGGAAGCATGACTGCTAGACTTTGTTTCTGTGTTTGAGCCCAAATAACCACAAGGAGTTCTTAGCAGGTATATGCTTCTCGGGGTTGACAACAGTAATGCATACAGATGAAATCTTTCCTAGTTAACACTGAATCATTGCATCTTCAACCCAGACCCTAAAGGGAATGGAGGGGGAAGGTCTGACACAGTTGTTCTGTAGTTCATCTAGGAAAAAATGGGCAGGAAGGGCTAGGCAGGCTATGAAAGGAGCAATGAGGAGGTTCTGTGTTGCCAGGTATTCACATCTATGGTAGGGTCATTAAAGCAGTTTGGTCCTGCGCCCAGAAAAGACAGATGAGCAGCATAGGATGGGAAGCTGCACAGAGCTGTGGACTATGGAAGAGGTGGGGCATGAGGGCAGGCAGCCAGTTATCCTGGGACAGGTGATTGTCCCTTCTCACCCCACACATTAAAACTTAATTCCGTGTGGATTTGAGTTTTATGTTAATATGCCATATATTCTTAATTCCTTATAAGTGCATACTTGTTTTTATCAGAAAATTATTAAAATATGTACATATACTGGAATCTTTATTAAAATGTTTACCTTTATTTGCTATTTCAGAAGTTACTGCTGTCCTTATTTTTGGAAACTTTTCTGTGGTAAATAACTGATTACTTACCAGCAAACAGAGGGGTCAGCCTATGAATTGGAGTGTTAGGGGGAGGACATGCAAAGGGCCCTGCAGGAGGTCCAGCCGTGTCTCCTGAGAGTCAGGCCTTCAGTCCTGCTGATTCACTGCATTTATTAAGGAATAACCTAGAACAGGAATATGTTTTTATTTGCTGTGTAATAGAAGATCCATGAAAGGTCTTTTATAATAAGTCTTGAGGCCTGGTGCCCGACATTCATGCACCTGGCGGGGGGGGGGGGGGGAGGGCCTGCACCATCTCACAGTCCGGACTCCTCAGGGATTAGGGTCTAAACCAGCAGTCGGACATCCCCCTGCTGCAGTGGTGGGAGAGGCTCACTGCGTTCTCCAGCCGTGAGTCCAGCTTCTGGCTGAGCAGTGCTTCCCTGTGGAAGTGCACTGACCACTAGGGGGCAGCTCCTGTGCTGAACATCTGCCCCCTGATGGTCAGTGCGTGTCATAGTGACCTGTCATTCTGCTGTTTGGTCAATTTGTATATTAGCCTTTTATTATATAGGATAGATTCTAAAAATAAAGAAAACACATTGTGCCCTGTGTATCCTGGGTGTGTGGTGAAGGTTGGTTTCTGTGTGTTCAGACCTCGTGAAGCGGGCAAAAGGAAAGTGCCTTATTGCTGCACTCAGGCTGCCTGGCCTGCGGGGAGAGTCTGGGCGGGGGAGGGGGAGGGACCCATTGCTGCACTCAGGCTGTCTGGCCTGTGGGGAGGGTCAGAGTTGGGCTCTTAGAGCTGCAGACAATGGAGTGGAGTTCCTGCTAATATAGAAGAGAAGTGGCATGTCCTGTTGTCACGTGTGTCCGAGCCTGAGCTGTTGGTGATGGCTTGGAGTAATTACTCTGACCTTTTCCCCAGATCTTTAGCAATTAAGGAGTTTTTCTCGAAGCCCAAGTACAACCACATTTTGAAGCCAGAAGACTGTCTCTCTGAGCCGTGCACTATTTTACAGCTGGACATGAGAACGGTGCAGATCGCTGAGCTGGAGGTGAGGCTGTGTAATCGGCGCACACACGTGTGAAACTTGTTATACAGAGAAACGGATTTATGCTTTTTGCTATTGATTTTCCCATAGTCTTTTTTTCTTATGGTCTATTCTGATTTTCTTTTATATTTTTACATTATTTTCTTTCTAGTTTACCTCTTTAACATCTTTCATTATTTTAAAAGTGCCTTGTTGCTGCACTTATGTTTATGTTTAATATTATCAGCATCTTCAGATTCAAATAAATTATATCCAATTTTATGATGGAATTTAAAAAAAACCATTTTTTTAAATTGATATCAGAGAGGAAGGGAGAGGGAGAGAGAGAGAGAAAGATCAATGATGAGAAAGAATCATTGATTGGCTGCACGCCTGCTTCTCCACACTGGGGATTGAGCCTGCAACCCGGACATGTGCCCTGACTAGGAATCAAACTGTGATCTCCTAGTTCAGTGGTCAGCAAACCGTGGCTTGCAAGCCACATGCGGCTCTTTGGCCCCTTGAGTGTTCTAATGCCACTTCTTTAAAATAGACTTGCCTAAGCCGAAGACCAACTTCTGTGCATGGGCCACAAAGTTTCAATTGCACTGTACCCGCACATGGTATTTTGTGGGAGAGCCACACTCAAGGGGCTAAAGAGCTGCATGTGGCTCGCGAGCCGCAGTTTGCTGATCACTGTCCTAATTCATAGGTCAACACTCAACCATTGAGCCACATTGGCTGGGCTCATAATGGAATTTTAACAGAAAATTTTTTCTAAGTGTTTTTAGCTATTCTTGACAAAATTTAGTTCTTCATTTTACTTACCCCCTCTTGTCATAGGGCATATGTAGGTTCAGGACCATCCCTTTGGGGGAGACAATGTTTGAACCACAACCTACCTTCCCCCCCAACCCCCAACTGGGAGTTTAATGGCAAAACAATATGCAACCTGAAATTTTGAGGTTTTATTAGTTTCAGCTACAATTGTAGAGACCCAGCCTTAAACTTCCTATGCAAAGAACTGAGAAGAGGAGGTATTCACAAATTTTGGGGCACAAAATTAGGCAAATGAGGCCCAGATTGCTTGAAACCTTTTCTGATTATCTGCTCATTTGAATTCACAACGCAGGTGTTAGTATTTACTTTCCTAGGAGGATATTCTGTATGTTTTTTTGATGTGTATAGTTAGATTAGCAAGTGACAGGTGTGTTTCTAGTCGCTGAGATGGGGGTACAGGCAGTGGTGGATCTGTGACATGTGCCCGAGCGGAGGAAGAGCCTTGCTCAGACAGAGCGGAGGTAGCCTGTGTCACGTGCCTAGGGACCCATGTCCGTTTTCTCTCTGTTTGGCTGAACACAGACAATGACAGGGGAGCTGTGCTTCGATATCAAGAAAGCCGGCACTCTGCACGGATTCACGGCCTGGTTCAGTGTCCGCTTTCAGAACCTGGAGGAGGAGGAGCCGCAGCTGGTGCTGAGCACGGGACCGTTCCACCCGTGAGTGTCTGCTCCTCCTGTGGGCACACGGAGCCTCTCCGTGGAGCATAAAAGGGTTTGTCTTCAAGTTATTGGCCTGACGAAAAGCATGACAGAGTCATGAACTTAAAGATCTAGAAGTGTTGAATACTAATTTAGAATCTCTCTAGACCAGCTCCCTGGGCAGGGAGCTGTGACCTGGAGCCAGGTGTGCAGTGGGTGGGTGTCGGGGCCCAGGCTGGGTGGAGGTGAGTTGGGGTCTTGCGCCCCCACTCGTCCCTGCACTTGGCTTCCCCAGGCTGCTCCGGGGCCCCTGGATGAACAGAGCGGGGCTCGGGGTTGAGCAAGCTTTGTCTTCTCAGTTGCCCCAAGTGTTGCTACAGCTTTTGTTTTTAAATATATTTTTATATTGATTTCAGAGAGGGAGGAAGAGGGCAAAAGAGAAAGAAACATCAATGATGAGAGAATCAGGGATCGGCTGCCTCCTGCACACCCCACACTGGGGATCAAGCCCCCATCTTGGGCACGTGCCCTGACCGGGAAATGAACTGTGACCTCCTGGTTCATAGGTTGACGCTCAACTGCTGAGCCACCACAGCCGGGCTGCTACAGCTCTTCATGGTTAGCAGCATGCTTTTTTGCCGAAGGCAGGTGCTTCTTGAGACACATGTTTTGTGCAACAGCGTTTCGTGGCTGCACACGTGTGCCCACACTTGGAATCCACGTCTGCTCATGATGCTGACCCAGCAGCCCATGGAAATGAAATGCTGCCTTCATGGGCTTTCAGTAGCTGCCCTGGACACCCCTCAGGCCCAGGGTCAGCTAGAAGTGAGCAAGGCACGAGGGAGGGGGTGGTTGAGCAATTGAGGCCTGAAGGACCCCGATGAGTGAGGCCGAGAGCAGCTTGCCCAGAGCATCCTGTGGAGGTTGCAGAGCTGGGTCTGCAGCCAGTCCTCCCGGAGGGGCGCCCGGCATGGCTGCGAGTGCTCACCTTAGGAACCAGCGGTGAGCGCTGTGTGCCTGCGCCCGCCTCCACCTGCGGGTCTGCGGTGGGTTATCTACACGCAGGTGGTAGCAGGGACAGGGTGGCGGTGGGCAGGGCACAGCAGAGGACTCATGCTCGCTGAAGGGTCAGGGAAAGAGACCCCCATGGTGGCTGAGGGAGGTGGCCCCAGAGTCTCCTCAGCGGGGCATGAGCTGGGGCCACACTGGGTGCCTGGGAGAGGACATGGCAGGGGATGAGCCTACAGAACTTAGAGGGTCCCAGAGTGTTACTGTTTCCCCCCGATATCACAGTTGTGTCGTACGCATGCAGTCACAGAAATAGCGTGTATTGGACTCAGTTTCCTCAGTGTGTGTTTCTTCTTAACTGCAGGAACTAGAACCACAGGCATCAGTGGCTTAGAGAAAGAGCTGGGGGACTTGGGTTGGACACCGGCTATGCTAGGCTGTGGAGGCCGGGTTGATACTTGGAGGGGCTGGGGAATAGACACCATACGGGGATCCTGTGTCTGGCCATGCGCCCTGAGCACCCAGGGCCACCAGAGTGAGCCCCCCTCTCTCCTCCCGGGATCTGAGCAGTGTCCAGCAGCCGGGCCCTTACGGGGCTCTGTCTACCCTGCAGTAACCCCGAGAGAAGGGCCCAGGGCGGGGCTCCAGTAACGCCTCCCCCCCGTGTCTTACAGCACCACCCACTGGAAGCAGGTGCTGTTTATGATGGACGAGCCCGTCCCCGTCCACGCAGGGGATGTGCTCACGGGCTCGATTGTGCTGCAGAGGAACCCCGTGTGGAGGAGGCACATGTCCGTCACTCTGAGTTGGTCTGTCACTTCCGGGCAGGACCCCACGCTGCAGAGGGTAAGATATTTAAATGTAAAGGCATACGTTGTGGTGCTGGGCTGGGGATGGGTCTGTGGTGATCCCCGTGGCGGATACTTGTCCCTGCCCTGGCCAGACACCACGGCCACGCCTTGTCTGCATCATTTTTCTAATTCTCATGCTGGGCCCTGGATGCTGTTATTCCCAGAACAGGACACAGAGGGGCAGGGAGGTAAGTGGTTTGCTCTGTGACACAGCTAGTCCGCGAGAGGAGACCCAGACCGTCTGAGGCCACCTCTGTGTCCGGGAGCCACTGGTGGAGAGAAGGGGCTGAGGGCTGAGCCATCGTGCAGCCTGGCACACACCTGGTGCCCACTGGCGCTGGGTGTGTAGCCGTGCGGTGTGAGGGGCATGGTCTGATCAGGTGGAGGTTTGAGGACCGAAGAGCCATTGTTCCCACAGGTGAAACAGTGCAGCTGGTAGGCCTTACGCTTCAGAGGCCGCTGAGAAATGGATTCTCTTCTTCAGATCTGGGATTAATGTAGGAGGGGAAAGAAAAGTATTACATGGTTTCCCGTTGTTCATTTAAAAAAAATACATTTTTATTGATTTCAGAGAGGAAGGGAGAGGGGGAGAGAGAGGGAAACATCAATGATGAGAGGGAATCATTGATCAGCTGCCTCCTGCACACCTCCTACTGGGGATTGAGCCCACAACCCGGGCATGTGCCCTTGACTGGAATCAAACCTGGGACCTTTCAGTCCACAGGCCGATGCTCTATCCACTGAGCCAAACCCACTAGAGCTCTCATTCTTGATTACTGTTTTGTGCTTTGCTTTACAGTAATTTTATGTTAAAAATTTGTCACTTAAAAATACTCTGCACCCGAATGCCATTCTCCTGTCCAATATTAAATTATTACTAGGAAATACTGGCTGTGCGTTAACAAACTTGAACAATTTGCTATTTGACTGATTTGTTTTCTTTGTCTTTTCCAGGTTGGAGAAAAAGTCTTTCCGATCTGGAGATGACAGTTGCAGTTCTCCTTGGGAAGCAGCGTGAGCTTGTTGGAGGAAGGCACAGGAGCGGGGAGTTCACACCGGTGTGAACACTTGTCCTTGTGAAACCTGCTGACGCTCGCTCTGCCCGGCAGGCGGTCACCCCCTTCTCTGTGGCTCCACGACAAACACGCTTGGGCTGCCCTCGCCACTGTCACAGCCCGTGTCTGTCCTCTAGTAGTAGCTGCGTTTCCAGGTGTCCGCCCATGCTGTCCACAGTGCCCCCATGTGGGCAGGCTGGGGGCACAGTGTTCCTAAGCTAGGTCTAGTTCCACACTCATAGGACGCGCGTCAACCTTGTCTCCTGTGAAGTGACTGTTCGTGTGTCATGTGTTACTGGTGTCCTTCCCGCCCTTGGTTCATCCACTCACCATGCAGAACGTGGGGCTGCACAGAGCCGCGCGGGACCCGGGGTGGCAGTGAATGTGCTGGGCTCTGCATGAGGTAGGTAGTACCGTGTAGAGACATCTTCCAAATTAATCGTGTTGGCACATAGTCCATCTCAATAAATATTTTTAAATAAACGGACGTCCGTGTAGAGCCTACTTCTGCGCATGTACATGATTTGCACACGCATGGGATTGTACTACGTGCATTGCTTTGTAACCTTTCTCATCTAGCATTAGGGAGAAACTTCCATGCCAGGAGGTACACATCCACATTGTGTGTGTGTTGTTTCGATGTTTCGTGAACTTTCTATTTGTATACACTGAGTGGCCAGATTATTATGACCACCCCATCAGTACTTTGTTGGGCCACCTTTTGCCTTCAATACTGCGGCGATTCTTCTTGGCATTGACTCCACGAGATGTTGAAAGATGTTGCAAGGAGTCTGACACTGTGCCTGATGAATAGCCCTGTCCAGTTTGTGAGATTTGATGGTTGTGGAACCAGCTGCCTGATGGCTCTTTTAACTTCGTCCCACAAATGCTCAATTGGGTTGAGATCTGGTGATTTTGGGAGCCACCTAAGCAAGGTAAAATCTCCCTCATTAATGGAGGGAAAAAAGAGGAACAATTGTAATAATCTGAACAATAAAGATTTATTAAAAAATAAAATTTCAAAAAAAAAAAAAAGTCTCACTCATGTTCTTGAAACCACTCCTGCACAATACAAGCACTGTGGCAGGCGCATTGTCTTGTTGGAAGAAGCCATCTCCATTGGGATACGCCATCCACATGACAGGGTGAACTTGATCAGCAACGATACTTAGGTAGGTTGTGCTATTCAGATATTGTTCCACATGAATTAAAGGGTCCAAATCATGCCAGCAATACTTGCCCCAAACCATAACACTGCCCCCACTAGCTTGAAGGGTTGTACTCATGCATGTGGGGTGCATGTTTTCATGCTGTTTCTGTGAAATTCTCACTCTGCCTTATGCATAATGCAACTGGAAATGTGATTCATCGGACCACATGACTTTTTTCCAATGCTGAACTGTCCAATCCTTGTGTTCATGTGCGAATTGGAGACGTTTTATCTTGGTGACTGCAGACAGCAGAGGTGTTCGAACAGGCCTTCGGCTTCCATATCCCATTCGATGCGGTGTACGGCTAGTTTGCCTACATACGTTAGGTGGTCCTAATAATCTGGCCACTCAGTATATAAAAGCCTAAGCAACCAAATGACTGAATGATGGGTTGGCTGGCCATTATGATGCACACTGACCACCAGGGGGCAGATGCTCAACACAGGAGCTGCCTCCTGGTGGTCAGTGCGCTCCCACAGTGGGAGTACGGCTCAGCTGACCACCGGGCGCCAGATGCGGAGCTGTGGTGGCAGGCACAGTGGGGCCGGGATGAGTGGAAGTGGTGTGGTGCCTTGCCTGGACTTGGTTTCTCCCCGACCGCCTGCTGCTTGGCACACTGCTACATCCCTCGGGGGATGGCGGACTGCCGGTTTCAGCTCAATTGCTGCAGGCAGTGGTTGGTGCAAAGGTAAACATTTCTTTGTGTGTGCTTTGGTACACACGCCCCCGCTGAGCATTCACCAGGAGCTCAGTGTTACCAAAAATGATCAGATAGTTTTTCAGAGTCACCACGGAGACCAACTGCCTTCTGATCGTACACATCAGTCTTCAGAATGCCCCCAGCATGCTGGTTGGGTTTGGGGGTCATTTTTAGTCATTTTGCTTATTTATTTTACATCACTGAATATGATCATTGAGAAAAGTGTTCATATCTCACATCGAGACCTCGAGGAACATGACCAATAGGATTCCTTTAGAAAAATTATCTTTATCGTTGAAAGTATTACAATGCCCTCCCCCCATTTTTTAATCCATTGACCCTTCTAGCCTGTCCCATCCCCCCGCCCCACTCAGGCCTTCATTACACTATTGTCTGTGTCCATGGGCTATGCATATATGCATATAAGTTCTTTGGTTATTCTCTTCCCACCCACCCCCATCTTCCCTCTGAGACTCATCAGTGTGTCCCATGTTTCTGTGTCTCTGGATTTATTTGGTTCATCAGTTTACTTTGTTCTTTAGATTAGAAGGATTCCTTTTCCAGGGATGGGAGTGGTGATAGGGAAGCTCTGTGCTCCTCTGATACCAGTGAGGTTTTGAGGAGGGCCCATGGACTGGCTTTAGGGGTCTGTGAGCTCCTTGAAATGGGCACTGCTTTGTGGGTGGGATTGTGGAGGGCCTCAGAGATCATGCAGGGCTGCCCCGCCCTCCCACCCAGGAAGGGTGGTGCTGGCCCCATGTGCCTGGGCACAGCCTGACACAAGGACACTCAGCAGACGAGTACATTCATCCAGGAATGTGTGCAATGACTTGTCAGCCCCATGATGCAGTCTTCTTCTTTTTTAAAAATTATATTTTTATTGATTTCAGAGAGGAAGGGAGAGGGAGAGATAGAAACATCAATGAGGAGGGAGAATCGTTGATTGGCTGCTTCCTATACACCCCACACCGAGAATCAAACCTGCAACCTAGGATTGAACCAAGATCTCCTGACCAGGAATTGAACTGTGATCTCCTGGTTTGTGAGTCAATGCTCAACCACTGAGCCATGCCGGCCGGGCCAGGTGCAGCCTTCTTGAGGGCTGGTGGTTCCTCCTGGGACTGGCTGGATCCTTCGTCCCCTCTGAGTGGGCAGCAGCAGGCAGGCAGGTCTCAGTGAGGACAGTCCTGCAGCTCAGCGCAGCCGGACCCCGCCAAACTGACCGGGCTCCTGGGCAATCGACCAGCTGCCTGGGCAGCAGAGGCAGCTCCTGGGGATTTTTTAATCCCTAACCTCCAGGAGGTAGAGACAAGAATCTCCTCCCTTGCAGCCTACAGAGTTGAAGATGCAGGAGCACCTGCATCTCTCAACAGGAGGTTTCACTCAGGGCCGCATGGTCTCCGAGACCCAAATGTGCCCATGGTCCCGCCCCGGTGGCCTCTGGAAAGCTGTGGATTCCATGTTTGGAACAATTCCCGAGCCTCCGGCTGCTTCCCTGAGCAAGAAGAGACCGGAATGAGCCGCTCTGTTCTTCAGGGCTGGCTGACGGACACACGTGGCTGGGGGCAGGTGTGACCTCGCCCAGGGCCGGTCTCAGGTGCAGGGACCAGGGCCCCACAGCAGCAGTGCTTTTCCCACAAGGGGATTGCTTCTGTCATTATGGGAGGACGGCAAGCCCCGCACAGGTGTCTGCAGCCCGTGGCCCTAGGACTGCCGCGGTCGGCAAACTCATTAGTCAACGGAGCCAAATATCAACGGCACAACGATTGAAATTCTTTCTGAGAGCCACATTTTTTAGTCTTAAACTTCTTCTAACACCACTTCTTCGAAATAGACTCGCCCAGGCCGTGGTATTTTGTGGGAGAGCCACACTCAAGGGGCCAAAGAGCCGCACGTGGCTCGCGAGCCGCAGTTTGCTGACCACGGCCCTAGGCGAACCCCTGCCTCTGTGGTCCACCAGTGACGTGGAACCCGCTGCCCTCCTGCCAGCTTCTGTCCTCAGGCTCGAGGCCAGCCCCTAAGTTTCCCCGTGGGAACAGCATCTCTCCTGCCTCCAGTCCAAACGCTTCCTGAATCCGGACCCTACATCTAGCCAACCCCACACCCATCTTCCAGGTGCTCTGGTGGGTTCAGGAACGAGACTGGGACCCAAGCAAGGCCCAGGGGAGAACACACCTTTCCTGGAAGAAGGAGCAGCCAGCGGGTGTCAGCCGGCACTGGTGGAGGCCCAGACTGTGCCTGTGAGTGGGGCACCTAAAGGCCCTTAGCAGGATGGAGAGGGACCAGGTCGCACTGTGGGAGAGAGAACCTGGACCTGCCAGGCCCGAGCTACTCTGAAACTTGCTTCTTGCGAGTATTAATTTACTCCTACCATTGGGAAGTATTTACTTTACTTCAGTGAGTATGTCCGGTTCCTTGCAATAAAGCGTGTCCTGGCTGATACACCAGAAGCAGCAATTCCCGAGGCTCCCTCTGCCGGGTGTCCTCACGGGGTGGGGAGTTTTGTAGCCCCAGTATGCCCCCTGGCTTCCCAGCTGCCGCACCTGCACAAGGGGCTGTGTCTTCGCCCCTCCCCTGTCTCTGGTGGCTTCTGCACTCCGTGGTTACAGTACTTCTGAGAAGCTATACTCCACGCTGCTCGCCAAGTTGCTCTGTAGCTGAGCTGTGAACCCAGTTTGAATCTGAGCGAGTGGATGCTGCTTCCAGCGACATCCAATTCCTCTCTCTCATCCCTCCTTTCGCTCTTCTCTCCCTTACCTCTTCCCCTCTCTTTATCTCTCTGCTCTCTCGCACCTTTCTCTCCTCTCTACTTCTCTCCTCTCGCTCCCCTCTCTTTCCTTGTCTCTATCCTCTCTTCTACCTCTTCTCTCTCTTCTCTTGCTCCCTTCTCTCTTCTCTCTCTCCTACTTCTCTTCTTTATTTTTTCTTTCGCCTTTTGTCTCCACTCTCTCTTTTCTCTGTTAGTCTTTGGAAGGCACGTGTACCAGCCTGAAATCCCAGCTTAGCCACGCGCTAGCTGGGGAACGTCAAGTCCGTTTCTCGGAGCCTCAGTTTCCTCTTCTGGGAAAGGATGGCGCTGATCATAGGACCCGCCCGCGGAGATGATGAGGCAACCAAGTGTGTGGACATGGCCACCGCCATGCAGGACACAGACCTGCCTGCCACACAGCAGGCGCCATGCCAGTGCCAGCTGCTCTGACAGTAGGGCGGCTCTATATAACGCTATCCATCTGTTTCATTGTGTATAGAAATCATGGCATTCCTACGCCTTTATGACATATGCTGGAGACCCGATGCACAAAAATTTGAGCAAGCGTAGGGCTTCCCTCCAGCACCCAGGACCCGGGCTGGCTCTCCTCTGGCCCCCGCTTCCTCAGGAAGGATGCCCGGCCTCATTAGCATACTACCCTTTTATTCTTATAGATACCTACATTCCATAGAGTGTTAGCTGTTTTTATTATTGGATAACGGAGCAAACAAAATGTGCCACGAGGTGGGTGAACTAGCACAAATGCCACGCCGGGTACTCCTGTCATAGCTGCGTCCGTGACAAGGTCCAGACAGATTCCTCCCCTGACAGTCTTCCTCCCCCTCTTCCCGCTTTAAATAGCTTTTATTTATCACAAGAAGACTAAACATGGATCTCCCCTCTTAGCAAATGTCCAAGTGAGCTCAGTACAGTGTGCTGAGCTGCAGGCACGTGTTGTTCAGCAAGCAGACCTCTGCCAGCCCCTGACCTCGTGCAGCTGATGCTTCAAAAAACGTTTCCGATGACGCCACCGCAGCTGCAGAAGATGCAGCGCCGGCCGGCGGCCTGCAGGTGGCAGCAGAGGCCCACGTTTTTAGGCATTAGCTTGGGAGGGGTGAGGCAGTGACCCCCGGGGTCTGCTTTTTCCTTGTAAACTGCCCCCCTCACCGAGGAGTGCAGCCGGGAAGGGGCGTGTCTGAATATTTCGGGAAGCTGCTCTCATGCTAATGACATCTGGGAAGCGGGAGCCAGCTATTATTCATTAAAACCTCGGGCGGAATGAGAGCATTCGTGCATTATTAGGATGCAAGGAAGTGGAACCGGAGGTGAGGCAGAGGGCGAGGGAGCAGGAAGAAAAAGGCGTGGGTTTGGGCAAGCACGCCCCTGAACCCCGGGACTCCTTGATGTGCGGGGCGGGCCACAGCCAGGGAAAGCGGAGTCCTCTCAATAAGGAGGTGTGGGCGCAGAACAGGGCCCCCTCCCCGGGGCTCAGGCAGTGAAGGCCGGGATCAGCCTCATCCATAAGCTTTGGATAACATGTAGATTCCCTCATGCCTATGCGTACAGAGCAGAGTCTCTGTCTCTGTTACAGATCAGGGGACAAATGAAACGGACAAAAGGAGACCCTGCTGCACGTTTTCAAGGGCTGGGAGTCGCTCTACTCCAACGGATGTGAAATATCGCATATGGACCACCAGATGGCAGTATTGCCCCACAAAAAGCCCGCACCAAAAGGCTCAGTCTTTTGGCTAGAAAGTACTACAATCACATGTGTCTTCCAATGCAGTAGCAATCGAAATCAGACGCATAACAAGCATTAGCTTATATTTGCACTTTCCCCACAAGTGAGTAACATCACATTTGCTGTTATTGTTAGTAGTGATGCTTAGGTCTACTTCAGTTATTGTCTTAGGAAAATGGGAGTCTACCAGTTGTATTGTCAGCGACTCTATGCACTTTTATGACTCAAGTCATTAGTAAAAAAAAACAAACAAAATCTAAGCAGTATATGATCCTTTCTTCCCTCCCTCCCTCCCTCCCTCCCTCCCTCCCTCCCTCCCTCCCTCCCTCCCTTCCTCCCTCCCTCCCTCCCTCATTTCGCCTCTATTTTCTTTCTTGGCATCCTAATGCCTTGCTACTCACTGTATTCCATTCCTTTTAGGTCCAAACATTAGAAGCAAGTACTTTATTTAATTTATTAGTTCCTGTTATGGAGTGAATTGTGCTCCCCCCACCCCCATTCCTACATTAAAATTGTAACTCCAACTACCTCAGGATGTAACTGTACTAGGGGATTGGGTTTTTAAAAAGGTAACTAAGATCAGGCGAGTTCATTAGGGTGGACCCTCATCTAATGACTGATGTCCTTATAAGAATAAATTGGGGCACAGGCAGTATAGAGGAAAGACCGTGTGAGGACACAGCGAGAAGGTAGGCATCTGCACACCAAGGAGAAGGCCTCAGAACAAATTAACCCTGTGGGCTTGATCTTGAACTTCCAGCCTCCGCAGCTGTGAGACAATACTTTTCTGTTGTGTAAGCTACCCAGTCCATGGTACTTTGTTACAGCAGCCCTAGCAAACTAATACATCCTCTTACATTCTCTTTTTTTCCTTTTGCATATGGAAGACTTCAGGAATCTGTGCCTCGTCTTTGCTCAGGGCTCATGCTAATCTTACCTGCCTTGTTACACTTTTACTATATGTGCTTCTCAATGAGTACTGTCCTTGGGTTATTTACCCCCCAAATTTACCAAAGTTTAAAAAAAATATATATATTTTATTGATTTTTTTACAGAGAGGAAGGAAGAGGGATAGAGAGCTAGAAACATCGGTGAGAGAGAAACATCAATCAGCTGCCTCCTGCACAGCCCACAACCAAGGTACATGCCCTTGACTGGAATTGAACTTGGGACCCTTCTACCACTGAGCCAAACCAGCTAGGGCAAGTTTTTTTTTTTTTAATTGGCCTTCTTGGATTTCAGGTCTCACCGTGGCTGCAGCTCGGTGGCAAGAGAGCTGCTTTTGCCCGAGTGTGAGAGACAGTGAATCCCAGCGTTTCAAACAGCTTCCATGTTCAGGTGATCACGTGGAAATGCTGTAGATGGCAGCATGACATCCCAAATGATTCCTTTCGAGCAAAACCACTGTGTCACTGTTCCTCTTTCCTTTTTCCTCCCCCTTGTTCTTTTTTCCCTAGTGAGCAAGTTACTGGAACCTTAAAAAAAAAAAAAAAAGATTATTTATGGTGAAAACTTGGAAAAGCAATTATGCCTGTTTTTCAAGTTCGCTCCTGTGGCCTGTACTACAAAGTACCCATCAGCTGCGTCCCCTTGAAAAGCCTTCAGGCAAACACTTCGTTATTCTAGCTCCCTGCTCCGAGGATCCCAGCTTTAGATTTAAACATAATTTGAAATGAAGCCCCTCTGAGATGTTCCCAACCTTCTTTCAAGTTCCTGCAGATGAGTTTACCAAAATGTTAACAAAGAAGTAATTCTTCTCAGAACTTTGGGCCCTGGGATTGAGAACGGCTGAGGCAAGCGTGTTCCTCTGTAATGGCCATTCAGACACAGTGTAATTGCCCTGAATTTCTTTTCTTAACAGAAAAAAAATTAATACTGCAAACCCAGAGTCAGCACACTTCCTCTCCAAGTCCACACAGGAACTATTACCAGCTTTTTGGGCCACATGGTCTCTATGGCAAGTGCATTACTCAGCAGTTGTTTCTGGAAAGCAGCTGTAGACCATAGGGACACGAATGGGCGTGGCTGTGTCCCAATAAAACTTTATTTATAAAAGCAGGCAGGCAGGCAGAGTTGGCTGTGGGCAATAGTTTGCCAACATGTGCTCTACACTTGGGCTTGCCGTCCCTCTGAGGCAGACCTTGCATCAGGTTTGAAGTCTTCTGTAGACATTCTGCCCACCCTCACTTTTGTTTTTCTTCTCAAAGGCTGTTTCTTTCCACACGTGTTTGCAGCATGATCCCGTGTTACCTCTTTTGGAGGTAAAATGTCAGGTTGGGTGGAGGAGGGGCCTGGCTCTTGAGCTTGCTATTGGAGATGAGTCTGGGCATACCTCATTTTTTTCCTCGTTCATCCCAGGCACCATCTGGTTTGAGCTCAACCTTGGGAACAAGGGTTGAGGCTTGAGATTGTGCTTGGAACCTGCCAAGGAAGTATTGAAGGTAATAGGGCAAATGCTTTCCAAGAACCTGGTGGCACTATGTGTGCCTATGAGTGAACAACCAGCTTAGGGAGCCAATTACACCAGTGATTATATTATCGGCCATGCACATACACATTTCTGAACAGTGCCCTGTATGTCCCAAAACACATTCAACAATTCTCAAGATGATGTACTTGTTACTAGGCAAGTCCCCTGGGGGCTAATTCCAAATGTGATTCGCTCAAGACCATCACCCATGCCAATTCTCTGGGTGAAGATGGTCCCGATGTAGAAAATGCTGATGAGCTTGCGGAAATCAGCAAACCTGAGCTCCGGGCTACCTCGGGGCACACCTGAGCCTGCATGACCTCAGACTGGTTTGCTTTTGAAGGGATTCCCTAGAAGGGATTGACCTGCTAGGTTATCTCCCACCTCTCTAGACTGGGGGAGCCCTCACTCCCCTGGCAAGTAAAGCAAATCGTGTCCACTGGTGCGCTTCTTCAGGGGCACGGAGACACGGGAAGGGTGCTTTTGATAGCTTCTGGTCTCACTTTATTTTCTAAATATATTTTATTGATATATATATATTTTTTTACAGAGAGGAAGGGAGAGGGATCAAAAGCTAGAAACATTGATGAGAGAGAAACATCAACCAGCTGCCTCCTGCACACCCCCCACTGAGGATGTGCCTGCAACCATGCCCATGACCGGAATTGAACCCGGGACCCCTCAGTCTGCAGGCCAATGTTCTATCCACTGAGCCAAACTGGTTTCAGCCTCACTTTAATTTTAAGCTTATAGGAGGGAAGCCCTTGAGGTGAAACTGAGGCTGGATAAAGGCACCTTTTCTGCATGAACGCATTGGTGTGAGTGACTTTATGAATGAACTCTATTGTCTGTATGTGGACTATGATGCCCATTGACTGAAAACTAGGCAGCATCTGTGGTTGGCCTTGAAATGCCGACACGGGCTCACTTGAATCCCTGCTTTATGTCAGCTCTCCCGGAGAAGTGAAGGCATTCCGGAGGCCGCCCGGGACAATCCAGGACTTTGTCCATTTTCGTCTTTCTTGCCTGGTCTGGTTTGTAGAAATAGACAAAACTAAACAGAGAGACCTGCTCGGTGGAACAGCCTTGGGAAGTGTGGTTGCAAAGATAGAGCTGGGCTTTATGTGGGGGAGTTTCCATGATACATATTCTCCGAGGACCGGGAGAGTGAGTTCACACGGAAAACACACACTGGGTGCCTGGAAAGTGTGCTTTCCACAGACAGGCTGTGTGAACAGAGCACATCCCGGCGGCTCTGGGGAGGGCGTGGGCGTTTGCAGAAGGCGTGGGGATGGAAGGTACTGCTAACGTGGTTGACTTGTTGGCTGGAACTTAATGGAAAGAGAAAAAAATCCGTCAGATGATACAAAGTGGACTTTTCTCTTACGCTCTGTATAGATCTTTTTGGGAAACATTTTTCCATTTCCACCCTTACTTGGCAAACTTGGAAATATGTATTTGCACGGAATACCTAAACATCTCTCCTAGACTTGGGAACTGTGCTGTCCTGTAGGAGGCACTAGTCTCGTGTCGTAAGTAAAACACTTAAAATATGGTTCCTGTAGCCAAAACCGGTTTGGCTCAGTGGTAGAGCGTCAGCCTGAGGACTGAAAGGTCCCGGGTTCGATTCCAGTCAAGGGCATGGGCACATCCCCTGTGGGGGGCGTGCAAGTGGCAGCTGGTCGATGTTTCTCTCTCATCGACGTTTCTAGCTCTCTTTCTCTCTCCCTTCCTCTCTGTAAAAAATCAATAAAATATATTAAAAAAAATATGGTTGCTGTGACTCATGAACTGAATTGTTCACTTTTTTGAGTTTTAGTTCATTTACATTTAAATAACCACATGTGATTAGTGGCCGCCTGATTGGGGCAGCGTGGATATAAGAAATTTTTGTTCTCATTATCACAGAACGTACTATTTGGTCTGTTCTAGAGGGAGACAGATCAAATTTTTGCTCACAGAGTTGTTGTTTTTATTAAATAATATGTTTTACTGATTTTTTTTACAGAGAGGAATAGAGCTAGAGAGCTACCATAGAAACATCAATGAGAGAGAAACATCGATCAGCTGCCTTCTGCACACCCCCTACTGGGGTGTGCCCGCAACAAAGGTACATGCCTTTGACTGGAATCAAACCTGGGACCTTTTAGTCCGCAGGCCGACGCTCTATCCACTGAGCCAAACCAGTTTTGGCTCACAGAGTTGTTTTTAATATTGAAGACTTAGTTTTCCTCCAAGACATCCCCCCTCCCCTTTTTAATTAATTAATTAATTTTTATTAAAAAATTTCTTTATTGATTAAGGTGTTACATACATATGTGTGCTTATCCTCCCATTGCTTCCCCTCCCCCAACTCATACCCTCACCCCCCTGCTGTCTGTGTCCCTTGGTTAGGCTTATATGCACGCATACAACTCCTTTGGTTGATCTCTTCCCCTTTCCCCTATGCTCCCCTGCTTCCCTCTGAGGTTTGAGGGTCTGATCGTCGTTGCTTCTCTGTCTCTGGATCTGTCCAACTGAGACATTTAAAAAAGGATCCCACGGAGAAGGCACCTTAACGCCCGTGTTCTTCAGCTCTCATCAACACTGCTAGCCTCCTCCCCGATTCTGAGGAATGATGGGTAACATTTTATATTTAGTTTCCTTTAATGTAGTTAAATATCATATACTAATGCCAGGAAACCATTCTTTAATTTAGTTGTGTTTCACGTGGCCTCACTAAACCAAGTAGCCAAGTCCATATTTTCCTTAGAAAAATGAACACACAAACCAGAAAGACCTGTTTGCTTATTTACACGTTTATTTTATTTGTGCCAAACAGGAAAACGCTGTGATTTAGCAAAAGAAAATTAAGAGGGAGGAAAGGTTTCAAGCCTTCAAAACGGAGTCAGAAACAGCATGTCAGTTTCCCTTGCTGCTCTCACTAATTTCTCGAGAGGAAATCTGTGAATACCTAGTTGAGGTGTTTGTTTTTGTGTGTCTCACTTTAAGTATACTTTAACTTCAGGACAAAAACACCTTTCATTTAAAAAAAAATTTTTTTACTGATTTCAGAGAGGAAGGAGAGGGAAAAAGAGATAGAAACATCAATGATGAGAGAGAATCATCGATTGGCTGCCTCCTGCATGCCCTACACAGGAAATCGAGCTTACAATCCAGGCATGTGCTGTGCCCTTACCAGGAATCAAACTGTTACCCCCTGGTTCATAGGTCAACCCTCAACCACTGAGCCATGCCTGCCAGGCTAATATTTAACCATAGTTTACAAACCAGTGTATTTCAAGATGTGGCTAATGATCTCAAAATGATCATGCCATCAAAATGGTTGAAATGGTCATTTTCTGCCCTAACCGGTTTGGCTCAGTGGATAGAGCATCGGCCTGCGGACTGAAAGGTCCCAGGTTCGATTCTGGTCAAGGGCACGTACCTTTGGTTGCGGGCACATCCCCAGTAGAAGGTGTGCAGGAGGCAGCTGATCCATGTTTCTCTCTCATTGATGTTTCCAACTCT